AATTTTCATGGTAGGGAGGGAGGTTTTTTTTTTTTTTTGCATCTAACATGAAAAAAGAGTTTCGCAAGGAAAAACAGCAAAAAAAGAAGAATAAAACAACAGAGACCAAAATTAGGTACAAGCATTTATAGCAAGCAAAAACTTTACCTATGAATAACGGCATCATAATGCAATTATCTCTATGTACTGTATTATCATGCACAATTCACTCCTCAACACAACAGGCATCATGGATACCATATGTGGCTACAGTATAGGCCTATAGAACAACAGTAGAGCATAGAACTGCAAGTGGACTGGCTAGTGTGCAGACGGGTGGTAAACAAACCTATATTAAATTGAGTTTGTGAGTGTATTGTAAAAAAAAAAAAAAAAAAAAAATCGGGTCGGTGGCGGCCTTTTTGATGGCAGGGAGGGGATGCTAACCAATTATTTTATTTTACATGGCCTAATGTTTTTGTATTAAACCATTTGGTTGTATCTAACGAAGGTTTGAAAGCTCCTCTCAAGTATTGACCTTCCTGACAATAATATTACAAATCATTTCAAATATCAAACAGAATGGAAGCCAAGTACTGACACATGACCCAGAATTATCAAGACTGTCGATAACTTTTAATATAAAAAGATAAGAGAGCATACATAATGAGAACAAACAGGCTATCTCCACAAATACATCCAGAAATTGTTAACCAGCATTTCCTAACTCCATTGGAATATTTAGGAGTATTAAGAGGGAGGTGGGGGTGGGAAAGGCGACTCATATTACTGTAAGTGAGGGATCGATGATTAAGTGAGGGGGAAACTTATTTCACCGTAACACACAAGTTATGAACTTTAGCATCAAAATTATAACATTTGAAAAAAAAGTTATTATGACTGGAATATGATGAATTAATTTAGAATATTTTTTTCTTTGCTCGAACCACCAAGGAAGGGGTCCGGGAATGTGCTACTGTAGAGTGGTGGCAGATGGTGACCCCTTAGAGAATTTGCATGCTGTTGTACAAACTTTCACAACTTTTGAACACTTTTTAATCTTTTTTTTTGGAAATGTGTGGAAGCTTGCATTAGTTGTGATACTGTACATCGTAAGTGGAACTTAATATTATTAAATTACCCTGTGTAAAATTAGCACAGGTAAAATTTTTTAAATACAAGTTGATATTACTTCAAAAAGTCAATTTCAAAACATTATTTAGCCTCTCTTGTCCTTTTTCAGGGACAATACATCTAAAGCAATTTATCTGAATAAAAATATAACAAATAATTCCTTGAAAATTACACACATTCCCTAATTCTTTTGGCAGCCTGCAAATCAGCAAAAACTAAATTATTTTAATCTGTGTCTCATTTTAGGTTGACAACTTTATTTGATTTTTTTAAATGATTGTAATTAATTTTTTATGGTTTTTTCATATAATTGATATATTGATCATTAAAATTCTTCAACCTTGAATATATTTCTTTTTTAAGCTGTTAAATTTTACTTGGTATACAGTTTCAGTTTCATTGAAATTTACAGTATTTCATAATGGTCATTACTAAAAATAGCTTTAATGAAAATTATTATATAATTTCTTAATATAAAAATATTAATTTATGTAAGAGATGCAAATTACAGTACAGTAGTTTCCATGTGTTCATAGGTGGAAACTGTGTCAGGTCATTTCATATAGATGAAACAAATAACTAATTCTAATGTGTGTCGATTCAAGATTAATTGAACGCTACTTGAAAAAAAATATTATTCAGAAATAGAACCTTTATTTGCTTTCCTTTAGAAATAGCAGTGAGCTAAAGAGCATTACAGCATCATGCAACAACAAAACAGACAGGAAATTACTTGGTCTCCAAGTTACTATCGGAATTAAACCAAGCCACCCCTCCAGAGATATCCATGTTCTTAGGAAGCCAACAACGTCCTTCAACCCTCTTCAGCAGACAGTTCATTGACTTGAAATCATAGTAAAATGTTTCTGATACAGACATTGTATACACCTCAGGGGTACAACAAAAGCAAGTGCAAATGCATGCATTTCCCTAAAAATTGGCCTCCCAATATTTTATGAGAAATTTTCTTCCAAGACAACTACTACACTATAATGGAGTCTGCTATTACTACTGTACGTGTGTGATGATTGGATTGGGCACAGATCCTCAAACCAATACGAAGAAGTACAGTATGCGTTTCTTCTTTCTTTCTTGCAACTTGTACATGGATGCAGCGGTATCCATTCACCCACGATACACATGCAGTAAGCCCCTAATTACTGTAGTAGTGACTCAAGATATTTGTCAACAGCTAGCCGGGTCGACACGGACTAACAGAACAGCCAAAAGTTCCTTTTCCTAAAGATGGCATACTATTATAGACTGATTTGGTGATGGGTGTCACTTGACCTAACTTGGGTGTTGGATGTAAACAATGGACTGGCACAGCGGTGTCTACATGGAGATTGCTATTGTGGCTGTCCTTTGATATTGCTGTAAAGATCATCATAATTCCCAGCAAACTGATTGGAAATTGAACTTGAGAATTTTGCTTTAAGGGTTAATGCTAATGTTCCGAAAGATAATTGCCGCAAACGTTGAGATTTTCAACAAATGTTAGGCCTACAGGCAGTAGGCCCCTGCACATCTATGGTCTGTTTAGCTATGCACAAAAGCTTTCGACCCATGAACTACGCTACAATTTTAAGGCTACAGTAGCTAAGGTTTACTAAGGATCACTTAAATTTCAAAGTGTACAATGCTAGGATGACGCTATAAGTAAATAAACGCTAATCTGAACAATCGTATTGACTTTCCTTGTCATTTATTTCTCAAGTTAACAGGGAAGGGGGAGGGGGTTGGTTGTTTTCGCAACCACAACATTACCTTATCCTATACTTTCACACTGATGCATTGTAATGTTTTCCATGGTATACCCAAGTTATGTCACATGACTGGCTGTAAACAAACATCGCCGAATCGGTCTATTACCTGTATATCAAAGGGAGAGCAGCTTGATGGGATAGAACTAGGGCAAAGTTCTCCATGGTTCTGTGCACACACAATGAATACTATGCTGCTTTAATGTATACTGCATATTATGACAATGTTTTTGTGGGATAAGTGTTTTTAAAAATAAATAAATCTAATATAAGCCAATACATACTGGGTAACATGTTCAGAAGTAAAGTAGAAAATATAAGAAATTCTATTAAGACACCTAACTTTAGTTTTAAAAAATCTCCTTAATTTAAAGGTCTACTACTTACTGTATTCCCCTATCTAAATCTGATACCATATTTTTCAAAAATCTTTTTGTTCTTTCTTTGTATTTATTTTCACTCTTTTAATTTTGCATCCCCAGTAAAATATTTATATAATCTTTTAAACCAAAAGAATCTGATATGAAATGTTGAGTACAATGGTTAAGAAACTCCCATTCCCAAGTCTATTAATTTTGTTAGTTTCCAAGCAAACAACTTCTGTACTTTCACTTTCTTTTCCTTCACAATCCATAAATAATTTCTGAAAAATCTTGTGTAATTCCAAACCTTGTTTTAATGTTTCTATAGTACCACATTTCTTTATTCTGATGTTTCCAAAGACTGTACAGTACATTGGAAAATTGACATTTTCTCACAAATCACAAATGAAGAAATGAGATGCAACTGGATAATACCATTATCTTAAAAAGGGGTGTTTCATTTATAGTAAGTTTAGTAGGTAAATGTATGGAGAAAGCAATTTATAAATTTTGAATTTATTTCATTAATGATTATAAATTACTTTGGTTCTGCATAAAGACTAGGGATGATGTACTATCAGGATCAAAGTCGGGAAAATACCTCAAAAATTAAAATGTGAACAGCTCGTTTAAAAGAATCAAAATAAAAAAAAATAAAAAAAATTGTTTTCAATACTGTTGTACAATAATGATTTTCTATCTTTGAAAAATGTGTAAAATAAGAACAAAATACGAACATTTCGAGCCTGCAATTGGCAAAAAAATAAGAAAAGAACAATGAGCCTGGGCAAAATTTTACTGGTTCTTATAAAGTAGTGTATAGTAATTTTTTGTTAAACTGCATATTATCACCAGTATCAATTTCAAAAACAAAAAATATATAAATCAGGCAAAGTGGAAATCACAGAGGAAGTTAGTAGTATCCTACAGCACAAAGACAAGCACATTAATTGTCAAGTATTTGCCGCCTTTTTACACTACAGAACTAGAACAGGATGTTATCATTGTTCTTGATTAAAAGTTACAAGAAAAAAGAAAGTAATAAGGTCACAAGACTGGTTTATTACATTCTTAGGTCACCTAGGTCAAAGGCAATGGATTGAGAGTTCAGGATATGGTATATAAATGTCAGTAAAATTCAAACAAATTCACAAATAGATCAGTCATACTCTCCAAATGGCAATTAAAGAGACTAAAATTATATTTTAGGATTATCATACCTTAAAGATTTAAAAAAAATTCTTTCACATCTAATATCAAGTACACTTAATACTACTTACTACAGGATGGAATGATGCTTTATGTAAACTAAGCCCCTTTTATGAGGATTAGGGGGTGGAGTTGCATTTCAGTGGTGAGAAAATAATCCTGCAGGGACAGGATTTGAACCTACGACCCTAGGATTGAAAGGCAGGCACCTTAACCACCAAACTACAGCTCCACTCCACTCAAGATACACAGTTTTACTATTGAAATAAATTAACCCCTTAAAATTTAACTAACATAACGCTCATTTGAAACTTCCATTGAGAAACAAATAAAGCAAATTTGGATTCCACCAGTTTCAACAAGTTAACATAAAGGTTTTTTAATTTATTTAACGGAGCGGATGTGCGTGGAAAGTGTTTGTTCAAAACTTTTAATTCAACAATCGAGTAAATTACAGGTAGGTACTTACATTAAGCAATTCAAATATTTAATGTAATAGCTCAATTCAAAACTGAATATCTTTAGAAAAAATGTATCTCAAGTAAACACTCACCCATCGCCGAGGTCTACCTCGACCTCGTTTTTTTGATCCAGTGGTGGCGACCTCTTTCTACATTGTGAAAAAACATATTAAATATTGAAATATTAAAATAACTTCATATGACCCTGTTTCTACTATGAAAAAATACATTTTGTGATTAAATGGGATCAGAAAATAATTTCCATTCTTTGACCACTTGTACAGTGGCACCCCCCCGCCCCAAATTCGTACCTTGCCAACCCCCCTCCCCCAGATTTTAGACGCTGGCACCGCCACTGACTACACTTGTAGAAGTGGTTTGGAGCAGCACCTTGGAGTCAGAGTTTTAATCACTTGCCGTACATTTCGCAATTTATCTACAGTTTCTTCTTCAAGTGGGTACTTGAGGCGGTTTGAGTGCAAATTGCACTGATATATCTCATGCAGCAAACTATGGAATTTTCCCCATGCATCGTTCCAGCTGGGGTAATAATGTGGAACAGCACTCTTGAGACTTGTTGTGTAGAGGACTTTATAAAAATCTACATGTATTAATATTATTAATCAGAGAAGCGATTGTAACACACAATTAAAGCCAATCACTCACTGCGCAGTGATCGCTGGCTGGCGTGATTCCATGGAAAACGCAACGCCACAAAATGCGCGCAACAGATCGCTTTTAATGACAATCTGTTCAGACTGCCATTGACAATCAGAGAGAGAAGCGAGCCTCACTTGGCACAGGGGGGGGGGGGCAGCCACCTAGGGGCGACCGGTAGGGGTCCAGGGGCCGAAGCCCCCTGGAAGTTAAAGATATCTAACAAATTTTGGTGAATTTTTATTAGTTATTTGATAGGCATCAAGCTACCGTAATATGTTGAAATTAACTTCCAAAACCGAAAGTTTTTTTTATAAAACAAAAAAGAGTGTGCAATGTAACCAACTAAAACTAACTTATTTTCAAATCCGTTTTACATTTTACAGTATATTATAAAAAAAAAAGGTGTTACAATACTATCCTCCCATCATGGCGAAATCCAGTGTTTTTCATAATCCGTGTGATTGTGAATTATTAACAACATTATTACGAATAAGAATAATGTCTTAATGTAAATTGTAAGGCCAACAATTTGTGACATTATACTATGATAAATTAAGAAAACACAGTGTCACCGGGAACATCACAGTACAAGATTTTAATTCAAAGTGAAGTGATTTTGTAAATTTTGCCTGAAATCTGTAAACCACGAGGTTGCTTCCCCGATCAAGATGCATCATTTAGCACTCACCTCTGTAACCTAATATGATGTGAACGATTTACGCATGCGCAGTTAAGAGATTTCTTTGTTGCTTTAATATAGGAGGTACACTTAATAAACTTGTCTAATGTAAAAGAGCTGAAAAAGTTGGCAGATATACCAGGGAGTCCGACTATAGAGCCCAACCATTTCTTAGGGAATAAATCTGGTGGAGGTCCATGTGCTTAATTTCTTGGTCCCTAAAGAATACCAGGCAGTTTCTTAAGGCACCTCCAAGCTGTTTTACAACACACAATGCCCAAAAAATAATTTAAAAATTGTTTCTCCTTTTTTGGTTCTACAAGTTGTGACAAATATGGCACTTGGTTTGTTTTGACAATGAACATCACTGCCACGGATGAACGAAGAAAATGATTAGACTACATTAGATTTCAGAAGAAAGAGAGCAGATATTCTCCAAGTGTACAAAATAGTAAATGGCATTGATGATATTCAAGTTAGAACCTTTTTCAATATTATGGATTCCGATAGAACAAGGGGACATAAGTTTAAATTACGAAAGCCTCGAGCTCGTCTTAATGTTAGAAGTCACTCTTTCTGTGTGAGGGTTATAAACTTATGGAACAATCTCGACAATCTCATTTAAAGATCTTCTCAACAAAGATGGGGCTATGTAAAAAAAAAAATATAGCTACCAATTTTAACAGGAAACAAGTACAAATGGTGGGCGTTTAAAAAGGCTAATGCCTTATTTCAGAGCCCGAAGATTCAAGTAAGTAAGAAAAGAAAATTTTCCAATCAAAGGGTTTGCACAAGAGCCCTTTCCTCCTGTGTTCTCTCACAAAGATGGCTGCCTTATACTTGTAGAAATGGAACACATATGGAAGGTACTTCTCCCTGATGCTTTCAAGAATCATGTTTGGCCTTATGTGATCTTACAGTTCACCATCTTTCATAGCAGAGAATTTTCGATCTCCCTGTCAACACAATCATCATCAAGGCCAGCTCTTCCTTATGACCAGTGGTACGTTGCCTAATAGCAGGGGTCCCACCTGCAAGTTGTGGAAGTCTCCTGGAAATCTGGACGGCCTCACCCAATTACATGCAAAATTAACCTAGGGAAAAATAGCCCATCTCCGGCAAATTAATTAAATCTGCTTGTTTTATCTATCAAGAGCAGCAAAATAAAATTATGTGCTAAGAAAGATCAGTTAATAAACAGATCTCCTGGTAATGACATATTCTAACATGCTACCCCTGTAGTATAACATTGTGATTTCCTGTTTGTAGCATCACAGGTATTCAGTAAACTACTTTGCAGTAATGTTATGCACAAGATATATTACATTTACAATTAAGTGCATCTCACATTTTATCCATGGCCATACACAAATATAGTGATTTTTCTCAAGTTTAAGGAAAGTCATTCCTTGCGAGGACCTCGCCCTTCCCTTCCTGTCCCTCTAAATCAATGCCAAGATAACAAATACACATTACTGCTAAAGCATGTATGCACAGGCTACTACTGTATTAGTAAAGTAAAGATTACAGAAAACACAGCTCAGTTACACTTAAAATACTAATTTGCATACATTGAAACGATGGTTATTTGAATAAACACACGACAAAATGAGATAATTCTTTTCCAGAAGTTAATAATAAAAGGCGCGCAGACCACGTTTTCTTTTAGTTCTAGTAGCAACAATTTGCGCCAAAATAATACTACTGGATTATGCAATGGCGCCCGCTTGCTTCAAGCTTGGGTTTCCATCAGTTTATGGCGCAGTAGTATAAGTCAGATGTAAACATTGGAAAAGAAAATGGCTCTTCCTGATCAGCTATGAACTATATAAATACCTTTTTCGTTGCTGCTTTAGTGCTGCCCTTCGGCCTTCCTCTTGGTCGTTTTTCCTTGGGCTCTTCGTTCTAGAATTATAGATATACCAAAATACTTCAATTTTTAAAAACCGTTATTATATAATTTGTGAAAAATTAATAAAAAATAAGAAAAAAATACACAGCAAAATAAATAAACTACAGGACTTACTGGATCAGGTTTGGGATATTTTCGAGGTCTTCCTCTCTGTCTCTTCACTGGTTCTTCCACAGCTACATCTGTATCTCCTTTCTTACTCATGTCTGCGGTTGCAAACCTCTTATTCAGTGTGTGTGTGACCGACTGTCTTCTTATAATCAAACTGAACGCCACACGGAAAATCGCACACCTGAGGCAAGGAGAGTAGAAATCAAAGCTGATCCAATGTTCTTACTATTTACTGCTAGATATATAAATTCAAAAGAGCATCCAAATTAAACTGAGAGAAAAAATATGCAAAATGCTGCTGTAAAAATAAGTGTTGTGTATCCGCTGCAGAAAATGGATTGGTACTAGCGGCGGCGTGGTGAATTTGATGCGTGAACGGACGCTCTTCAATTAGCAGCCACGCTTTCTCTACACACAGGCTTGCTTAGCAGACTACACAACAAAACAATAGGCCACCGCTACATAAAGATGATCATGTGACGTTATGTCCTTTCAGACGCGTCTCTCATTCTTTGTATTATACTGTATAATATAGTCAGAATATAATACTTAAGGCCTACAGTACTGTACTGATGGTTTTTTTTTTTTTTTTTAATGTTTTTTATCATCATCATCATCATCGTCATCGTTACATCTTCATTATCATCATCAACGCCATCATCATCATATCGTCATAATCATTATCGTCATCATCGATCCATCTTTCTTCTAATATTATATGTAATAATAAAGAGTCTTTAATTACTACCGTATTTTTCTATACAACATAAATAGGCCAACCATATTTATGTATAAATAGTATAGTAGCTGAGCACAGTAGGCCTAATAATGTAAGTTTAATTACTCGTAGGTCCTAAGTATATCTTTTTGTAGCCCCAGTTGTTGTAACAGTCTATTATTACACCATCATCATCATCTGCTACAATATAGGAAAACAATAATTAAAAAGTGAACTCAATGAAATTATAGTAAATACATTTCTAAATAGGCTAATTATTTTTCATCTTCTTTCTAAATAAAATGGCATTAATAAATGATTTAATTTTTGGTCGACACCATTCCATAATTCAGGCCCATAGAAAGTAATAAAATTTAAGTTCTTATAATATCATGAGTAACGGGATTCTGGAATAATGAAGACCTTTGGTAAATTGAAACATATTAAAACGAAGAAACTTGTAATTTGTATAAGGGAAGGTCGGTGTTATTTCATGAACATTATCCTCGTATCACAGTAATGTATTGTTTGCTTGATTTCTTTGACGTATCATGTTGATTTTGTAGTGGGTTTGGGTTAGCTCAGTTACTTTGACCAATGCATAGGATACCGTGGCAGCTGCTGCTTAAAAATGACTATTAGCGGTTTTGTTTGATTACGATACGATCTCCCTATTGTTGTACTGGGTCGGATGCATGATTTGGCGGCGCGGTGAGGGTGCGTGAGAGTCCACACGACCTCAGTCACACCTCACCAATATGAAACTCTTGGTGCCTGGAAATTGCTTTCTCATACCTTAAAAATCTTACCGGTAATTCACATCAACAATACAATACAATTATTTTTCTTAATACAATTTAGGGAAGGGGAGGGGGTGCGATCTCACCATCTGAACCAACTGCATCTGCCCCTGTTGTACCCTATGAATATGACTGGCCTATCTTATCTGCTGCGTTCTCCATAAGAAAATTGTACAGTGATAATATTCATAACTTTCCATATTCTATCGTCCTGTTTTTTGATCAATTAATGTTGAAATATTGAATCCCGACACAATGGCCAGTTTTATGAATTATACTTTAATGGATGCCAAGTATCCACGGTTGTGGGATTTGTGTCGTGCAACTGTTGCTATGGTAATGCGCACATGTTGACCTGCACACGCTGATAATAATAGGCACTTCAGGCAACGGGACGGGAAGACGGGTGTGGACGGTGGTTCTGTGCTCATCAGAACACTAAGTTGGGCGCTTGACCCGAATTACCGTTGTTGTCGACGGCCCCACGTCCTCTTGCGTAAGGTACGTGCCTAATGTACTGAATCGTGCACTTCAGTCCACCCTTTTCCTGTAGTTCTGGTCTAACCGCGTTTGTCTATCATATAAAACGTGGATTTGAGACCCCCATGGTTATAAAATGTTACATTCACAGGCACGCAAATGAGGTGAAAATACCCCGACACACTGACGCCAAATGCTGACCTAATAAAATTTGAGTGAAAGCATGAACCTTGATTGGTCGACTGTCGGATTAAACTGTAGGCCTAATCATAATGTTCTTTATCCAATTGATTTTAATGCCACGGCGCGATGTTGGTGGCGTGTGGTTTGTTTTTATTTGTCACCACATTTTTTATTATTACGCGGCGGGATATTGAATGCAGAGGCTATTCTGTCACCACGACAACTACTATCACACTTGTTTATTAATTAATATTAAAAGTGATAAAATAATGTCAGAAAGCGATAGATCTTGAATTTATCAAATGTAATTTAACATTTATTCATTTTGGTATAGCCTACATATTATGGAAACAAAACAACACGATATTCCAGCTAATTTTCAGCGAACTAACACTTTAAAAATATATAGGATAGCCAAATACTGCGTTAATTTTTTCGTAATCGGCATCATAAGGGCCTAGTCCTACTTATTTATGAACTGAGCTTCAAATACAGTGCCGGTATTATAGACACGGTACCTAGCTCTAAATATTCATAAGCGATATGTTTAATGAAGATAACGTAATGAACAAGATGGGTTGACTGAATGATCAGATCAGGGAGATGTAAAAATTATTTTTTACATCTCCCTGATCAGATTGCCATACAGTTTTGATTAGGTGGATTAATGTTAATAAAATAAATTAAACAAATAAGATACCGTAAAACCTCGAATAGAAGCCAAATGGGCTTAATTTCAATAAGTCCATCTAAAAAAGAAGTCCCCACTTTAGTTTGCAAAAGTAATCTTGAAAAGAAGTCCATCTCGTAAAGATGCCCGTGGGCTACTAATAAAGATAGCATGGGCTTCTTTCGAGAATACGAATACATTCAGACTGTTATCTTTGATGGCGTGTTAGTATCAATATTATTTTATTGTGCTAGCATGGTTAAAATAAAAAAAATAAAAAAATAAATTAAACAGAAGTCTGAATTCCATTGTTGTATAATGTCGTATAGATTAATTCCAAAATTTACAGCATTCATTTAAAAAAGAATCCCACTCTTTAGTTTGCAAAAAAAGTAATGTCGAAGAGAAGCCCATCCGAGGGTCCTAAAATAACGAAGCTCAGGGCTTCGCGGTTTTACCAGGGGCGGATCCAGAGATGTCCGAAAGAGGGGGAAAACCGAAAGTGGTGCCGAACTAACCAATAGCACTACCCTACGACTAGGGGTACAATACTACTAGGGGTGCACTACCCTAGGGGTCCGCGAATTTTTTGTTTTCTAGACGCCTGAAAATAACCTCTGAAACGTTTTGGGCGTCTTTCTTCCATTCTTTTTTTTTTTAACTTTCAAAAAAAAAAAAATATGGGGGAGGGGGCGGTCCGCTCTAAATCAGCCCTGTTTACGGTATATCACAAAGAACAACAATTTTTATTATGCTCTGGCAGTATAACTTAAGTAGATATTTAATTTCAAATAAAGATCTTTATATAATATTTCATTGGGTTCTCTTAAGGTAATTCTGAAGTGATTAAGTGTTCAAACTAGGATTTCTTTTTGTTCCAAATTTACTTTACAAGCTGCAAACAAACGTCGATTCAAACAAAACACAGAAGCCTAATATCTTTCATGTAGGCTACATTGATCTATGACCTCTTCTAAAGAGATGTAGGCCTATAGTTAATGTAATAGGCCTAATCATCTGGCCTAATTAATTAAAGAAAAGTAAAATGGATAAATTGTGCACAAAAACTATTCCTGAAGATAATGAAGCTTGAAATAATGATTCAGTGACTTTTTTCCAGAGTTAATCTCGCCACTTAATACTATCTCACAAATGTGTCTTTTTTATCTTCAATCAAGTAGTCTGCTCATCAATTAAAATGATATGACGATGCTCTCGTGGCCTTTCCCTGATAAACCAGTTATATACATTACGTGAATTTACCTTGATTTCCTGTAGGCCTCACGTATGGTAGATTCAATGGCTTTAGGAAAACATATTAATTACTAAAACTATTAAAAAAAACCCAATTAATATTATTGCCTCTGCCAAATAGTAGTAACCCAATCAAGGTTAGAAAAACTAGGCAGATGTTACGCTCTTCTTGTAAAGATTTTTGCAGGAGAGGTAGAAAATAAAAAATCAGAATGTGTTTCATAAAATAGAAACCCCTTCCTGACCACGCAGTCAGACAGTGTAATCAGATTGAGAAGTGGTGTGTTGCATGCCGCCAATTTGGGGGACAGTGACCTCAACAGACTCATGAATGACAGGATCGTCTCAGTATAAAGAAGCCTTTTATATTGCTTGGGAAAATTATCTCTAAACAAACAACTCCCTCATCACAATATCACCATTACATACAGTGATGGTGCCACTGATCTGGGGTGGGGGCAATGTCCCCAATGGGACTGCAAGTGGGTGGGGCCACATGCGCGCCGATCGGTGGGGGACAAGGGACACACCCCTCCCACTTTTCACCAATCTTCTGTACTTAAACACCCACTTTTCAAAGTGAGTGGAAAGAACAACAATTACGAATGACTGTCATGAATTTTGTCTGTTCACTTTTCTCTGTTCCAAGTGCGGGACCTATTTCCGGACCAAAACCGAGCAAAAACGAATTTTTTTGTACATTTCGTAACCATCTAGGTAACCACTCCATCAATTTTATGGGTACAACGATTATCAGAGGCTAAATTTATTGTGAAAACAATGTAATGTACTTTGCTGAAATTGGAAGCGTGTAAACCTATAAAGCCAACATTTTTACAAACTCGGAAGTGCACAATTTCCATTACAAACGATTTATTCCTTTTGTATATTATTAAGACCCGTATACTAGTGTTTAATATTATCTGCATACAATTATATTCCTGTTCTTCCTAATTTCAAAAAATTATAGTAGCCGTTAATTAAACAATTATATAGCATTTGACACGGATAAGTCTATCTATTTCGGCTTACATAAGTAGTAATACCAGTTTAAGAACTCTGATGTTACGTTGACGTAATCTCTCCATGACGTCATGATAATAATAAATTAAGTAAATCACCTTTATGTTTGTATAATAAAAATTTTAACTATTGTTTTGTGTGCTTCCTATCTCCCTTTGTCCTGTTTGATCGTAAATCAGACAGTAGTATTACCACTCACAACAGTGTAGTCGCAATACTACTTGTACAAAAGTGAAATTGAAAAAGAATAGAAAAGGAAAAACCTCTTGATTTTAAAAGACTGTACATGCAAAGAGACTAAATTAGATTGACTGTTTTAAGTTTATCTTATTTGTTTGTTATGGTTCGTCACAAGCTAATCATTAGATAATAAATCATTATTTTTATAAATGTTAGTTTGCACGAAATATATAAGCAGGCATGATAATGATCACCAGGATAAATTATAAACCTTTTTATGAGTATTTCACCACCTGGACCTCAATAAAGGTTTGTGAAGGCTTCCTTGTTTTTAAAATTCTTCCCCCACCCCTTTCAACCACGGATCGACGCCCTGGGGGGGGGGGAGAAGGGTCACCAAGAACATATTTGATGAAAACTCAGAAGTGGTTAAAGGTTAAAAAAAAGTTTGGTTATGCCCCTTCCCCTCCCCACTCCCAGTTTCAAAATATTCAAAAACCTGTATCTCATTAATTAACTGCTTCCGAGTTTTTAGTCAAATATGCTTTTTGTGTGTGGATTTCAGATGTTCTCTCGACTTACTACAGCAGCTCAGAGACCAATCCGTGGAGGGATAGCATCTTTCTTGAAAGCCAAAACGGAATATGAGAAGCTGATGGAGAATATAGAGGGCTCATAGCTGAGGAGCATCCACCCACCAAGTCTATGAAGTAGTGGCAGCTGCATAAAAAGAGACAAAAGAGAAGAAAATAGACAAATTTGAAGTATCCAAGGCAGTGGTGGCGCTACAAGGGGTGAGGGCTAAGGGGCTGCATCCCTCATCGGGGAGGCTTCCCCCCACCCACACACTATTTTCTACATATTAGTAGATTAAATATAAGCCATTGAAACACCTAAATTGTCATTTTTTTTAGATTTGCCACCTGGACAACTTTTGAAAGATTTTGAGAGACGTCCGACCACGCCCACTTTACTCTCGTCATGGCTCTCCACCCACCTTTATTAACCCACTTTTCCATCCTTAAAATCCTCTCTTATTATTTAGAATTTTTAAATGTTATTACCTACCCACCTTAAAATGTCCATCACCCACCCTTAGTTTGTAACAGCTACAACCCTGTGCCGCAAAAATACAAAAAAAGTCCCGAAGGAAAAGAGTATTCGTAGGGTAAGCACAACTGATTTTCAGATTACTTTGTTTAACTACTGTATCAGTTTCGGATGGGTGTCTTCCTCAATCACACTTTTTTTTTTCACAAACTCCCCTTTTACTTTCTATTAAATACTGACAAATAAGCTACCAGCAAACAACCTGCGTTGAATATCTTGATATAGGTTTTTTTGCAGCTTTGAACAGAATGATACAGCTTCAGCTGTTGGTAAACTGTAGCTGGTCTGGTCTATCTCCTCCAGTTGACATCTTGATTAGGTGGTCTCATAGAGCTATTAAACAACTAGAGTGCTGACAAGATGGCGGAGCAATGCAGAGTTGTGTATGTGTACCATCCAAGATGGCTGCCGTAGGAAAGCGCCACCTTCAGGCTTAGTATACATATTATTACCATAAATAAGCCTTCTGACTGAATATGATTTCATTAATGATAATTAGTATTGATAATGACAAATTATTAAACTGTCGTAGCCAAAAAGAGGCCAAGTAGAGCATCTTATTCAAATATTAAAAAGAATTAAAATCGTGTACATTACACCCATACATTCCGTGAATAAATGAAACTGTTATTATTTATATTTATTTCTGAATTATTCATAATAAAGGCCTTTGCATGTTGTTAGGAGGAAACCAAGTTTCCTCCTAAACCCAAGTTTCCTCCTAAACCCAGTTGCCCCTTGACCAATATTGATTATTATTAACTACCATACCCTTCGAACCTGATTTAGAACTTATCTAGGCCTAGTAGTGAGCTAGCTAGCTAGCTAGGTAGATAATTTGTACAAAGAATTGAGTGTAAACTTTTTATTTTTTTCTATCTTGCAGTGCCCAGAAGTGTACATAGTTTTTCTTTTGCTTTTAAATTTATGTTTGCTGTAGCAGTTTAAGGACACTGCCTCTTGGAAGACAATCTTTGTAAAAAGACTGAAATGAATTTCCGTGAATAAATGAAACTGTTATTATTTATATTTATTTCTGAATTATTCATAATAAAGGCCTTTGCATGTTGTTACGGTATTGATATTGGAGAACTTAGCGACAAAATAGTGTCGAGTGACGATTTTCTCAAGTCCTTGAAGGTCAAAGTCAACCATCAAAAACAACTTATAGACGATCTTCAACAATATAGTCGATGGAATTCTTTACGATTCTTTGGGATAAAACAAGAGCAAAAGGAGGAAACTGATGATTTGATAATCAACCTAGTCAAAGAGAAGTTGAATATTAATCTGACCCACGAAGACATCGATAGGTCCCACAGACTTGGTAGGAGTACACCCAGTAGAGATAAGAATGGTCAACGTCCCAATCCTATACTGGTTAAATTTTGCTCATATAATAAGAGAAATTTAATAAAAACCAGGAAAAAACTTCTCAAATTATTACTCCTTATCAATATCATAACTTATATAATTTATGTTATGCTTCCTGATTGCCTTTGTTTCATTTTTTGAAGCTACCAATTTATTGATTGTAATTATAATAGTTTTGAAAGAAAGAAATAAAGAATTGAATTTAATGTATTAACTGTTAATTTTTATATCTTTATCTTTAAACTTGATGTATTTGGATTGTGAATATTGTACCAATTCACTGCGAGAACAATATCAACAAACCTTGAATAGAATTGAATATTAATTGAAAATATAATTTTCTTTTTTTTCTCCAATTTTAAACAATAATTTTGAAAAATGTTGAGGGCAGGAGTGGGGGGAGGGATGGGCCAGCCTTGAATCCACCACTGAATTCACTTTTTACTTACTTTCATTGCTCTCTTCAAAGAAAACAGCTGTTCCAGTTGTTAACCTGTACTCCCCCTTAAAGAAGCATTTGTCCAACTTAAGAAATGGATTAGGAGAGTTGACGCCCTGTAAACAGTACAATCAAAACATTTTAAATATTTTTTGTTTTTTCTTTACTGTACATTAATAAATGAATAATTTTTCTTTTAATACTAATTAATATATGAATATTATTTTTGGTTTTTTTTCTTTATATCAATAAATGAATATTGATATTGCACTCATAGGCTGATTCAAGGGGGGTCCAGTCAACGAGGGCCCAACCAACCAGGTCCCAACCAACCAGGTCCCCTCTATATTTTTCAAATTTGAAGAAAAAAAAAAATGGGAAGAAAAGAAAATTACATTCAAAGTTTTGGTCTGAGTATCATTTCCAGCCATCAAGAGGTGCCATAGACATAAAATGTTGTACTTCAGCCCCAACCATGGTGGATTACTGGTATTAATTTAAAGATGCCCATGACCACCTAACTGGTCTGAGATCAGGTCCAAAGCAAGTTTGAATGTGTTGGCAAAATTTTATTTAAAAAAGCATGTATAAGGCCCAATAAAAAAATTATTACTTAATCACCTTCATGTGCATGTCTTTTATTGTATTAAAAAAAATATATATAAATATATATATTTTTGAAATAAGAAAAATGTTTTCATTTTTTTAAGTAAATAGTTAGTAGATATTGATTGTATTATCTCAATCATGTTTTACTTTGAATATCAATGCACCAGCAAACAACCCAAAGGTGATATTTGGCTAATAGCAAAATAAAAAATAAAAATAAAAAAACCTTCCTCCCTCATCACTTTTCCAGCCTAGCTAGAGTGATAAACTAATCATTTTTTTTATAGGGCCTAAAACAATTTTCTGAACAACATTGTGCGATTACCTATGTAGTGATCAAAGTTCAAGGACCTGTATGTGTGTATGCAATGTTTGGGATAAACTATGGATTATTTGGATACTGTACTTACAAGAAGATGAATCTGTCCACTATTGTTTTTGAATTCCTCTGCTGTTAATCCAGAAAGCTCTAGTAACACATAGCTTTCCTGTATCAACAAAATATATAACACCTTTATAGTATTTAATGCTGTGCCATTATTATGAACTAGTAGTATACATTCACAAAAGTAACACATCATTAAAAAAAAAATTAAATTAGTCATAACATACAAGGTTTTTGCTACTTAAAAAATGCTGACCATATATTTTAAAGATTTTAGGTTGGTCAGCCTAGTGTAACACAAGTCCTTTTGGCCCTAGGCCTAATTATTACCTAATTATATTGAAGATAATAATTGATTCCTGCTCTACAATTCAATTCAATTCAATTCAAAAGAAACATTTATTTACTTCCTCAGAAAATCTTAGAATATTAATTATGGAAAATTATAATAAAAATTAAATCACATGTTTTTCATATACTAAAAAATAAAGATTCGTAAAGGGAAGAAGGCAAATGCCAGAAAAGATTTGAAGCAAATCTTGTGTTGGGCCAGCCTAAAATTAACAAAAACATAGCAACACAAAAACACAACGCAACAGCAGAAAATACAAAAAAAAAAAAATCAAATAAAGACCGGGAATCCGAGAGAAGCTGCTTGAGGTTTAGTATAGTAAGATACTGTATGTGGAAATTAATAATGTGCAAAAAGGTGATTTTTTAAAATTTAGCCATACAAATTTAAAGGGATTTAGAGTTAACAATTGATGAAGGTAGGTTGTTCCATAATTCGGGTCCAGAAAATCTAATATTATGTAACATAAATAATTCGTTTTGTGGGTTTGGATGTAAATTGATGAGCTAGCTCTTGTATGATGCTCATGAATGGAAAAGGTAGGTTTAAACATATTACAAAGATGATAAGGAAGAAGAAAATAAAGAGCAGAGTATACAAAAATAGATTGCTGTAATGCATTAATATCATAAATTTTTATTAGTTTAAAATTCAAGAATAAAGGAGAAGAATGAGACCGCGGTGGAGAGCCAGATATATAACCCTGACTGCCTTCTTTTGGATGGTTAGGAATTTGTTGAGGTTGGATGGGTAGGTATTTGCCCATACAATATTACAGTAGGTCAGATAAGGAAGGATCAGGAAGCAGTACAGTATACGTAATAATATGTTGGGAGGGATAAATACAGGTTTTAGCAGGTATTACTACAACAGCAGGTTGTTTCATTGTACAGAAAAGCTAAGATACAGCATAGTTAGTGCCTAAACTTAAGAATCACAAATATTAATGATCATATTCAAACTAGCCTAGGCCTAGGCCTAACCTAGGTCCAAGTTTCGTGATATGGAATGATGATACAATGTTTGAAATAATAAATGTAAAGTCTTTCATAACATTGTAACAAGAATGGACACTCGCAACGTCATCTTTATTTAGTTAGCCTAGGCCTCATGAATACAATCAATAAATGTCTAAACAATATACGTTGGTTTGAACATACGAAATATAATTATATATTAATATAATAATAATATATAATTGTTGACGCCCGGTTTAACCACTCCAGCAAGGCCTAGGCCTACGCGTAATCTGATTTAGGACCACGGCACGCCGACAACCCGGACGACGGTCGTGCTGCATGTGCTGTGTGTGGGCGAATTGGCTTAACAATAAATGAATGTTATGTCAGTATACGATCGTTCTAGTAGTCAAAATATGATTCAATAATATATAAATAATATAGGCACTACCGTCATCTAATAAAATGTTTAGTTGGCTATAAAGACATTACCCCTTCGTCATTAATATTGTTGTCTGCTGATGTATTCATCATCGTACCAGTGTCACTTGTTGCCATTTTGCATTCTGCTAATGTTACAACTTGAATAAACTTAATTTTATGAAGGTGTATTTTACATTTAAAAAAAAAAAATAAATAAAAATAAAATAAATAAAACTAAAAAACTAGTATTTACATTATTATAGTTATTATAAACATATAATTAATTTATAAACTATGGTTATGAGGTTAACTTGATAATTATTCTTTTTGGTGAACTGCCCTGGATGTGTCAGAGATCACATAAGTATGCTATTCGCACGACGGGCGACGACGCGCATGTCTGAACCTCTTGTACAAGTTCTATGACTTCGTGTTAAAATTTCCCAATGATTTAGACCTAATTAAAAAAAAATTTTCATGGAACTTACAATTCAAAATGTTCATGGAACTAAAGTTCAAGCGAGTCCATGGTAGCCCATTATACAGTAGTTGCAAAATCGTCAATGATGACGGCAGCTGGGAAAGAAAAAAGAACTTGAAGGAGAAATTTAAAACACGTGCTCGCCCATTGATTTCTCAAACGTATTTCAAGAATTCCAACATTCAGATATTTAAAAATACTTTTAGAACAACTTGATCAAAAGTTTTAAAAACAAACTTTAGGGATTGTTACAACCAAAACTCTCGCGGCATCTCTAAGAAATGCCAGAAATGGCACTCTCAGACATAGTAAGAGTCACTTTTCCCGATGTTATTTTTAATTTTCTAAAATTTTGGTTGTGTTAAAATTCAATTTTTTGAAAACATGAACGCACCAAGGCCGTAGCGCGAAAGGGACCAGGGGTGAAGCCATTACATGTTGCAGAACCATTTTAAAGATTTTAAAGGTTCTAATATTCGAATTTACTTTAATGCAGTGTACCCACGTCTCTTGCATTGTAGGCCTACTGGCCCATTATTATGAATTAATATTGAATACATTTTTACGGAAGTTACAATAATTGCTGAGTACAGTCTCTTCATTTTCTTGTTACGATGTTTTGATTGTTTTTTTCTTTGAATTTATTTTTAACATTGAAATAAATTATTATCTTTTTACTTAAGATTTTCGATAGTAAGCCTATAGGTTAATGGAGGAAAGAATTTTAAGTGTGTGTTATCATTGTTTACAGTACAGGCCTAATGATATTAAGCAAAACAGGTAGGATTGTGATTAAACCATGTAACGATTAAACAGCAAGTTCATGTTTAATTGCTTGTTTAAAGTCGGCTTCTCTCATGTAATGTAAAGCGTCTCCTTGATTTTCAGTTGAAAAAGAAGAATCTCTAGAGTCCAGAATTGAGAAGCAATTCTCATCAGAACAACAATAAAGAATTTGTATTTGTATTTCAAGTAAATCGGAGAACTCAGGATGCCCAGAAATAGCAGATGACGATCCGCTTTCTTCTTCATAGAGTGAATACAGGAGAGAGGCTACAGAGAACATACCCACCAAAACCCATTTTTAAAATAATCTGTATAAATGAATGGAAAATACTTTCCCATTGTACGCTCACGTAAGCATTCAGGTGTAATTAGATGAAAATTATCATGGAAGTAGACTAGAAAACATTCGTAAAAAGTATGTTGAGAAACCACGTGATGTTTCTCAGTTCAATTCCATAATAATGCATTATCTAAATTACTGTAACATTGTTTAGGGAACTGTCAACCATTGTCAAGCGACTACATTTTTTCCAATCACTTTTATTCATCAATATCTATACACATTAACATTTATACAAAATTGGAATAAATAAAAAGGAAAAAAAAACAACAAAAAAACAAACAAACAAAAAACCATAGGCCTACTTTCATTAAATAACACGGCAGGGGTACCACAAAATCAAGAACGTCACAAACAAGTTCTAACATCAAGAAACAACTAAAAAACAGAATAAAGAGAAATATCCAGCAGTTCTGAGCGTGGACCATCAGACGTTCCCAAAAAGCAGTGAAACAACGGGTGTCTAAAAGAACAATAGAGGTGGGTTTATCCGTTTATCCAATATGAAATAGAACTGCCCGTATTGTTTGTGCCTAGCCTAGGACACACCTAGTAACAATGTATTGTCTAAACTATTGGTGTCCATTTTTCTCAAATAAATAAGTTATTAATTGCAACATTCTAGTACAGACAATTTCTAACAATATGACCCCATCATATTATTTATCTAATTACAAAAGCTGTCTCTTATACACATCTGGCCTACTTTCATTAAATAACACGGCAGGGGTACCACAAAATCAAGAACGTCACAAACAAGTTCTTACATCAAGAAACAACTAAAAAACAGAATAAAGAGAAATATCCAGCAGTTCTGAGCGTGGACCATCAGACGTTCCCAAAAAGCAGTGAAACAACGGATGTCTAAAAGAACAATAGAGGTGGGTTTATCCAATATAAAATAGAACTGCCCGTATTGTTTGTGCCTAGCCTAGGACACACCTAGTAACAATGTATTGTCTAAACTATTGGTGTCCATTTTTCTCAAATAAATAAGTTATTAATTGCAACATTCTAGTACAGACAATTTCTAACAATATGACCCCATCATATTATTTATCTAATTAATTAAGATTTTCGTTGAAAAAACAAAATTCAAATGTACAAACTTAAAATATTTTAAGGATTAAAAAATCTTATTTCATATTCATTAATGTAATGTTAGTATTTATAAACATAGGGCCTACCTTCTTTATGTTTTCTTTGGTTTTTTTGTGTAGTGTAAACTAATATAATACTGTTCATTAAATTATTTTGTATAATATAAATTTCATATATTTTGGTATACTGTATTTACCTTTTCCTTTATTTTAGGCCAATGTTTTGTAAATTTGATTTATATTTTCTTTTCTCTTTTTATCACGGCCATGATGAAAAACAGCATGTAAATTGTTGAGTTATGTATTCGTGAAAAAATATAGTTTCACTACTACCCTGGGGCTGAAAGGGCGCCTGCAGCTGACAACCCGTACGCCTACAGGGACCGGACAGGTCAGATTTAAAGTTAGTAGGAGAATAGGTCTACAACCCACACCCATCTCAGTTCATCATGGTTGGCGCTAAGGTGAGCAAATTTTAAGAAAAAAAACAAAAAAAACATGGCTCATCTTATGCCCCGAAATACAATTTCATACTTTAAAATAACGAATGTCCTTCATTTAGTGGAGGGTCCATGGGGCAGCCGGGCTAAAGCCAAGGGCTCCGGAGTCTCAAGGGACCCCCAGCAAATTCAAATATTTCTTTTACAAACAAATAAGCAAGGACCCTTGCCAAGCCAAAGTCTGCCGAGTGATTGGAGCATACTTATTCTCATCACTATCGCCAGTATTTTGTTGAAACTTGAAAAAATTGCAGAGTGAGTACGGTTGACACACATGAGTATGATAGGCCTACATATGTTTTTTGTTTATAAAAATTTCCGCTTCGTCGAGGTCTGATCAGTCAAGCAGAACATAACAATGGTGAATCGACATTGACGGCCTTCAGATAACGCTGCGTGCTATAGTTACACTCATAAATACTTAGCACCCCCAAGTCAGACTGGGGCTCTGAACAACGTAGCATTCTTCTCATTCTGGCTTGGAGTAGGCCTAGTCCCGGAACAAAATCTCTGGTGCGGTGAAGTTTTTTGAATCATGACTTCGCATGGCCCAAAACTGTGCTTTTGGATGACAATAATAGGGATAGCAATCAAAATAATGTTATTTGGAAGGCTAATTAACATTTTAGTCCGACGACCTCGTCGTGGAGTCGGAGCCGAAGGGGAAGTCCCTGATCTCGCGTCATCACAACACTCGATGCTGATTGGCTAGGTCTACAGCGGGTGGGAAAAAAACCATTGCCTAGGACATAACCCAGATCAAAACAAATGTTATTGTCCAGTGGTGGAGCGGCGATTTAAAAGGCGAAAAACAGGTAATTTTACATAAATTTTGATTCGGTTAATCGTTGGTCTGTTGGGATTGAGAGGGCATTCATAATGGGTAATGGGTCCAGACCTGGTGGGCCATTTTAGCCTCAGTTTAGGCTTTGTTTTTGTTGCGACGAATTGGGTTGGCAAATGAAGGCTCTAGTTTAATCCGGTCCAAACCAACTTTCTGCAAAGTAGATGCTTAAATCCAGTGTCGTTACGACGAGTCATGGAGCCCAGGGGCGAAAAGGGGGACCTTGTGCATTAAGTACAGTAATCGCACACAGAGTGTCACAAAAGTGGCGGGGCGGGGGGGGGGGGAAGAGAGGGTTCCATACTGTAAAGTATTTTAATTGATGATAGGTCATACCCCGAAAAAACCAGCACAAAATTGCGCAGATCAAATCGCTAGGAAAATAGGTGCGCAGAATTGTATGTATTACTGCATAAATAGTACAATGTTTATACATTAGGTCAAAGCCTATTTTCGGCAAAATCGGCGCGGAAATCGGGCCTTATTTTTCCGAAATGCGCGGACGGATTTCTAGACCAATTTTTTTGCGCGGAGGAAATAGCCTATTCCCCGTGCAGACCTTACTATACGGTCTGGGACGATCTGATCTGACATGGAAAGACCCCTTGCCTTGGCATAAAACAGGAAGGTATTCTGTTTTTGTGCACACTATTCCTGTGTCTTCGTAGCTCCTTCAATACAGTTCCAGAGTCTGGCCCTACCAATCTTTAGGGATCTTCAACCCATTCCAACCCATCAACATATTTAAATCTTTCTTAATATTTTACTTGCACAATTGATCTGTTAAACACAGTGGGGCATGTTTGCACAGCACAGGACTCCTTGGATAAGCTTTTGGCTTTTTATGGAGGATACGATTCAAGGTTCAAGGAGGGCGAAGTTGGAGTGGGTATCAATGATTAAGTTTCGGGGGGGGGGTCTAGGTCGCAAAAATATGGTGATGTGAGGTCAGTGCAGGCCCGTAGCCAGGGGGGGTTTTTATGGTTCGGGCGAACCCCCCTTTTCTAGCGAACCCCCCTAGAATTTTTGAATGAGTCCCACTCGGACGGAATGTCTGTTTTTAACTTGCCCAGCATTAAATCAAAATTTAGCACCTAATTCATTATTTGGTCACCCGTTTTTAAAATGTTAGCCTGCGATACAAGCTTACATTAAATATCTCAGCTTCAGAAGTTCGGAGATTTAAATTGAACGCAACTCCGGCAAACCATGACTTTACGATAGCTCACGTACATAAGGATGACTTTCACTGGCCTTTGGCTGAATGTTTGTAAGAAATGTACCAACTGGTACTCCGTCTACCTAGAGTAGATGGCGCCACCAAACAAAGATAAAGTTTTGCGACTTAATCCACCAAATACAGCTAAAGTTTTGCGACTAAATTTCATAGCCATACTGTCCATTGCGGACACTAAATTATTTGCTGATGGAGCATTTTTGGAAAATTGACTCTCCTTTTTTCCATCCCAAATAACATATTATTATTAAATCAACATGGTCCATCTCACATGGACCTTATTAATAGGCTGTCTCTTATACACATCTAGATGTGTATAAGAGCAACAGAACGGAGTGCGTCAAAATCTAAAAAATACGTACTGGCATTTTGTAATACACATTCCGTCGTTGTACAGTATGACATGTTTCATTAACATAACATACACTGAGGATTGCCAACGATTTGGGTGCGTATTCAAACTTTTACGATATGGTGAACTATTTCGATTAAAATGTCAAAGTGATTATATAAGAATTAGATGAGTCACTGTCAATAAAACAATTCGCGGAAGAGGAGTATTCAAAATATCGGTACTATTGTTTAATTTTAATTAATAGGTTGTACAGATATGCTGCTTATAGAAGTTTCACCTGGTGCTGTCTCTTATACACATCTAGATGTGTATAAGAGACAGCATGCCAATTCTCAGAAAATATTTTCCAGTTTTATTATATTACCATCTTTTATTACATAGATCTTTTTCAAAACATAACTGCTTTTATAGCATTGTATAGACCCATTAAACACAAAAACTGCTCTGGCTTCGGAGGCTTCGCCCACAACCCCACCGGGGCCCTTAGGCAGTTCCCTGGACCCCACGCCCAGAGAACCTCCCCTGGACCCCACGCCCAGAGAACCCCCCCTTGAAATGACCTGGCTACGGGCCTGCAGTGGCATAATGCCTGTGCTCTCTCTTGTGGTGGTACACAGGTCCCCAACACCTAGGGGCCCCATTATCAGAAATGTTCATACCTTAGACCCAACCATGGTGGGGCTGAGGTGGTATAGGAAATCTCTCCCTGGCTCCCCTCTATTTCAAATTCCTGAATCCACCACTGATATATAATTTATTTTGTCGTAAAAACATTTGCAATAACACGATTAAAAAAGGAGCACATCTACAATCCCACAATGGAATTGGTGACCGGGACCCAAGAATGGCCCCAGTCTCAAATAGCAACAGGGCCCTCAACCCCAGCATTACGCCACTGTATGAGGTGATCACACCGCAGAATCAACTATTATTTTCACACACAAATTAGAAACTGTCTATGCATTGTACATGCAGTGGGGGCACCAACTTTCCCCCATCTGACAGGCCAGGACCTCTTGTTGTCCAACGCCATGATAAGGTCATCTGATCAAGAATAATAATTTGCCTATCCAAATATCATTACACTCATATATTTTGATTGCCAATCCCTAACGTCAGGGGTCCCAAGTTGGAAGAAATCCCTTCTGGGAGATCTGGTTAAATGAGCTTTCTTATCATATTTTATTTTATTTTGCTGCGCATGGTGATACTGATCGGCAATGAATTCTGTGAGATAGTTGATAATAAAGTAGTAAAAACATGCAAATATTATGAGTCTGCGGGAGATGGGCAGTTTTCATGGAGATTCTTGCTTGCGATAGTGCGGGAGGCCGTCCTATTTTCCGGGAGACTCCTGCGACTTCTGGGAGACTTGTGACCCCTGTAATATTGCGATCTAATCCTAAACGCACAGTTTGGGCCATACTAGGCCATAAAAACTCTGGGGCGGATCTAGTAGGGGGAACATTCCCCCCAATTTTGCCATTAAATTCTAAAACTTTCAAAGAATATTAATGTTATGTGATACTTATCTATCTGAAACTGTTGTCCCCTCCCCCCCCCCATTTGAAAAATTCTGGATTCGCCCCTGAATTCTACCCGTGAACCCCATAGGGAATTTTTTATTTGGGGATCCTGACCAAGGCTCCAGTTGGCCCTTTGTTTTGGAGCCTTGTCGGACATGCCAGACGCTCTGTCGTCAAACTCACGGAACCACTACTGCATGCATGCTTACATCATGATATATGCTCTTTTAGCCTGGATCCCTGTTGGATTTGTTGAACAACCACATCCACCCTCCCCCCACCCCTTCTGAAGCCACCACTAGTCTGCTGTCTATGTATTTCATACACCTTTGCTTTCTTATCGTTACAGAGTTGTCTCAAAAAATGTCCCGTAAGCTGGTTAGTGATCTGAAACTTCTGATAAAATCATTTTCAACTCACTGTACTTCAATACAACAGTCAAGATCTGCATCATCACTGGCATTTAAGAATGCATACATCAATGGACAATGGGTACCTGCTGAAGATGGAAGGACGTTTCCAGTAAGGAATCCAGCAAATGGAGATTTGATCAGTGAAGTACCTGATATGCAAGCCAAAGAAACAGAAACAGCAGTGAACCATGCATCTGATGCCTTCAAACGGTGGAAAAATTACACAGCTATTGTAAGTTGTCGAGGCCTGATATGTCAGCATCTATCTAAGGAAGTAGGGGCCATAGACCCCATATAAAGTTTTTCCTTCCACTGAAAACTTGATGAGCAAAAAAAAAAACTCTCTTAGTGGAAACTCACCTCAATCCTCTCATTCCTTCAGCGGGTATCCCTGGCTTTCCCATCACGCCCCACACCATCATCCCCATTCCCCGGGCGTCATTACAAATGTTGATACATGCACCTGATATTAAAGCATTATAAGTGATATTATGTATCTATTGCAGGAAAGGAGTATATTGTTAAAGAAATGGCATGACATAATGACAAAGAACCAAGAAGGTTTGGCTCAAATTGTAACAGCGGAGAATGTAAGTTTTCTATAAAAATTGTATATCTTGCTTTTTGTTTGTTGTTTTCAACATCAAGTAACTCCTCAAAGATAGCAAAAAAAAAAAAAATCATTATTAGAAAAAGCACTATTGTTATAGCTTTCTTCTTCAATCTTGGAACGAAAAGCCAGGTGGAATCTTTAGAGGAGTGAAGTTGACACCTGTAACTTTTAAAAACAAGTTGCTTTTCAACTGAAATAAATTAGAATGAATAAATTTGAAAACATAAAAAATAATCTTCTACCTGATCCTCTGTTTAATAGGGGACCAATGAATATTATTGATGTTTTATACCACATTAGAATGATTAAAATAAATGGTAGCATTAATTGCCCAATGATGCAACTTGCCAGCCCGTATATTTAAAATATTTTATGGCATTAGAGGGCGTTATAATGAGAACTTTCAATTAATAGTAAAAACAAAAGATATCAAATTCACTGAAATCTTCCAACTAAATGAATTTTGTACAATATCTGAACAGTACCCTCATTTTCTAACTGGTTTTAGAAGCAATTACTAGAATGAAAAAAAGTTTATCAAAATATTTATTTGCTATTAAATTATTTTTGTTTGATAGGGAAAACCTCTCGCAGAGGCTAGAGGTGAAATCACATACGGCTTATCATTTGTGGAATGGTTTGCGGAGGAAGGCAAGCGAATCTATGGAGATGTAATCCCATCTGCATTTCAGTCCAAAAGATTACTACACCTAAAGCAACCAGTGGGGGTGTGTGGTATCATTACACCGGTATGAACTTTTAAGAAACACATGCTTCATTCATTTATTATTGTTAGGTTTCCAATGTCAAATAAATGTACTGTATTGATTTATTGTTACATTAAGGTGAGGTTTACAATTCTGAATATGATCACTGAAAATAATAGTAACTTGAATGAAGTGGAAGTTGATATGACTTCCTCCTCACTCCAAAGTGTAACTTGTGTATCCCTATAACACCTTTAAACACATCAAGAACTACCGTGACACATCAAAGTACAAACCCACTTGCGCACAAATTCCTATCACGTGATTATTATTATTATTGTATACTTATATAGCGCATATCAAACTTCTCTATGCGCTGAACATTTTTACCCCGGATCACTGGATCAAGCACATATGGAACACACACTCAGGCCCCATAAGGGAATTCCATAATGTTGCAGCTGTATTCAGCGCAGGCTGTGTTTGAACCTACCAGGTACCCACTTTTACTCCTGGGTGGAGAGAGACAACCGTAGATAAAGTGCCTTGCCCAAGGACACAAGCGACTTGCACAGCGAGAGTTTTGAACCCCCGACCTCGAGGTTGGGAGTCCAAACCACAACCGATGCGCCAACCACTTCTACGATAAATTCCTCAAAATTCATTGTTCTGTATTGCATGTAAAGTCGCTAAAGCTACATCATATGCAGTATCAAGCAACATATATCTAAATCACATACTTTACATCATCACATTTATTACGTAATATCCCTTTTCAGTGGAACTCTCCAAGCGCGATGATCCTAAGGACAGTTGGCGCTGCTCTGGCAGCAGGATGTACTGTGGTTGTTAAGCCGGCTGAGGACACGCCACTATCAGCACTTGCCACATGCTATGTAAGTAGACGATCATACAGCTTACAAAACCAAAACGTTATTGACATATCTGATTACTATTGTAACTCTCTATGGATGTTACTAGATGAGTTCGGACTTCAATGAATGAGCCAGACACCAAGTAAGCTGGATGTTAACGGTTTTATTCTATACAAAGTGTGAGCCTCCAACAAGTAACTCTCTATGGATGTTACTAGATGAGTTCGGACTTCAATGAATGAGCCAGACACCAAGTAAGCTGGATGTCAACGGTTTTATTCTATACAAAGTGTGAGCCTCCAACAAGACGCAGCTTGGCTAGTCGATGAGCCCCCACGAGAGAGCGAGACTCCGCGGGAACATCCCTTAATAGAGTCCTTGAAAGTTCAAAGGTTACACTATTATTCAGTTGCTTCAAGAATAAATCTGTTCATATATTATATTATTATATTGATTACATTTTTTTAATTATTTACCGAAAGCCATTTGTACAAATGTCGTTTTCCAGGGCAGTTGCTACCATCAAAGCAAGACTGCTTAATCTTATTATAATATATAAGTAGGTAATAACAAGATGTGTTGTCAAAATAAATATTATTAAAACAAATTTTGCTAACCTATTAGTTTGCAGAGCAAGCTGGAATTCCTGCTGGTGTTTTGAATGTTGTCACTTGCTCTCAGCAACATGTTTCTGAGGTTGGCAGGGTTCTTTGTCAGAGTCCAAAAGTTTCCAAGATATCATTCACTGGATCCTCAGCTACGGGAAAGGTGAGTACACTGTAACTTAAATTCTTCACCACTATTATGGTTTGTGTTAGTGCTTAAGTGATGTCATGGTAGATAAGAAAATCTTAGTTATCAGTAACTAATTTTAGTTATCAATAACTATCTTTTAATAAAAATAATTTTTTTAATGAGCATGGTGGACACAATCACTTACACGATTAGGTTCTATCCCCATCAATTGTAAAGCATTTACTTGAACGCGGACTAATTACTGGTATTCCAAATATTTTAAGATCTTAATGAAGCAATCAGTAGACACAGTGAAGCGTGTTTCGATGGAGCTTGGAGGACATGCTGCGTTCATCGTGTTCAATTCAGCCGATGTTGACGCTGCAGTGGTAGGTGCGGTCGCTGCAAAGTTCAGAGGAGCAGGTCAGGTGGGTAAAGTAACTAAAAAACAATGTATACAACTGGTTCAAATTAATAAAATGCCTATTTGTTGACACAGCACTCATAATGAATAGTGAGGGTGCACTCCAACCCTAAGCTTAAGGTGAAACTTATTCCCTGTTTATACCTTGTTTGCAAACTTATTTTTTTAAAGATTGTTAGAGTAGGGCAGAAAAAGAAAATAAAAATAAGTTTTCGTATTTAGCAAATGGTTTTGCCAAAAATATCCAGATGGAGAAAAAAATAAAATTTTATTGTTAAATGTAAAACAGTGTAGTAATGGATGTTGAAAATTTGTATAATAATTTTATATAATAATAATATACTTCATTTAAACACAGAGACACTTGAATCACCCATGGGTGTTTTTCATCAAGGCTGTGCAAGGCCATACATAATTAGAAGAGAACAAAATTATTGAAAACAAAATGAATTAAAGAAAACAACAAAAACATAATATCTTAACTACCAGTGAAACTATCCCCTACCAGACACCAATCTGGTATTTCTAAGTTCGGGGATGACAATGGATAAAATCAAAAATCTTTAGGAAAACTTAGGATATATAATTATGAAGAAATATACATATCTTATTTTTTGAGCTTTTAAGGCAGAGACAGGTGTAGTAAAAAAAAAAAAAAACAACTTTTAGTTTTCTGCAATTTTCTTTTTTTTTGTGGCGACTGTGCTAATTGGCGAAAAAGAAAATTATATTTTCATTTGAAATCATTATTAGCGGTTAGTGGGTTCGCTAAACAAGGTAAAAAAGAAACTCAAATAAGTATAGACTAATAATGATTAATAATGATGTATCGTTCACGTATAAATCCAATACCTGTGGGGAGTTTCAAATTATTACCCCAGTCTTTGGATTGAAACTAGACAAGTGACCAGCCTGAATATTTTGATTGGAAGTCCAAAGCATTTCTGCTGTGCACAGCCATAACAAAGAGGTCTGAGTCTCCTGACTAGGCTTTTCCGGGGCCCTACTACCCTAGGGAAAAAGCTAGCCTGCTTTGGAAGGAAGAAGGAAGTATGTTGATGTATTTTTTACATGTTAGTACTCTTTAAAATGGTCCCGCTCAGCCAATATATGGAGAAAAAATACTGATAAATATTCCAGGCTCTTTAGGCAGGACTTTTTTTTATACATTGTTTAGCGAACCCGCCTACTGCAAATATTGATGATTTTGAATAAAAATAAAATTTTATTTATGGCCAATTAGCGCAGCCACCGCCATGACAAAAAGTCTCACCTTAAGGTCTGTAGATTTTTAAAATAAATTTAAGTACAAATAAATTTTAAACAATTTTTGGTAAACACAGTGGTTTCTATGTGTATCTCAAAGATGTACTGTTTTATGTAATTATCAATTCACAGACATGTATTAGCCCAAATCGAATGTTAGTGCAAGAAGAAGTATATGATGAATTCTGTGAGAAGCTCGTCAAAGTTGTAAGTCAGTTTGTGGTTGGTGATGGTCAAGAGGATGGTACCACACAAGGACCACTGATTCATGAAAAAGCAGTTAACAAGGTCAGTGAGAAGTAAATTGAATATATATAATGATATAATAATAATAATGACCAGTGCTGACTTTGATTACATAACTCTTGTGCAGTGCCGTCTATTAAAACACTGGTGGGGTGTTTCAAAATTTAGTTCCAACTCTCATCTCCTTGATGAATCTGGTTGGGTGGGTGCTGGAGATATTCCCCAAAATTACTTTAGATTAAATACTCCTTTACCATCGCTGATTTGTGATGGCATTCAGACCTCTCCAAATGTGACCCTGTTGCGTGGGCCAATGAGGAAAACGATGGGGTGGTGGATTGGGATGGCTTACCATAACCTTTGGTGTAGCATAGCTAATTGTTACCACCTTAATAATGCTTGCTCATGTAAGCTGTGCGGTAATTCCGTAAACCTCACCAGGCAGCATTTACTGGTGTGTCCTTGGGTGACGGTGAATGTTGGGGTACACAAAAACTTAAGGATGGTTGAATGCCTACTTTACCAAATTAAGTAAATAAATAAGTAAATTAGGTGTAATAATAATAAGGATGGTTGAATGCCTACTTTACCAAATTAAGTAAAAAAAAAAGTAAATTAGGTGTAATAATAAAATAAATGATTATACCAAAAAAAAAAAAAAAAAAAATTGATTAAATTCCGTTGCATGTTCCTCAAGATTTGTTCATGGTGACTCTGGTTTGCGTGCCAGTTATGTTTTACCTGTTGGGCCATGTGGCCGTGTATTCAATTTTTGAATAAAGTGTGCCTAAATACAAATACAAATAATAATAATGTTCATGGTTTAATTCGAGGGCCCAACATTAAACAGTGGCTACCTCTTATCATTGCATAGATTTACATTTTTGTTTAATAGGTTGATTCTCATGTGAAGGATGCAGTAGCTAAAGGTGGTAAAGTTCTGATTGGTGGTGAAAGACATGTGAAAGGGCCAACATTTTACAGCCCAACAGTGATACGTGACATCACTGAAGATATGTTGGTGTGCAGTGAAGAAACATTTGGGCCACTCGCGCCAGTAATAAAGTAAGGGTTGCTAAGGTCTACTATTCTGTGTATTTATAAGCATGTAAAACTATATCAATTGATTTCTAAAGAAATAATATAATAATAGATAGTTTGAAATTCTAGAAAAAAGTTTAAATTAAAATTACATAAAACACCAACATACCTTTAATTATTAAATCATTTCTTTTTTCCTCCAATATAAAATCTTTATCATAATTTAAGTATGATAATATACAAAAATAAGACTGACCTTTTTATTGCATATTCATTTCACCTCTAAAAAAACACATTATTTTTTTTTAAAAAGTGAATTTTGAGGATATCTAATTTTAAGAACAAAATTGTTCCATACAGTAATTAAAGTTCATGTACAATCTATCTAAATGCTTCCCTCGAAGAAACGCCCCCTCAAGAGCCTCATTTGGAATAACGCTTCCTTCGCTTGTGCATTTATACAATAAATAGTTTTCTTAATATTATTTTTAGCTCATCATAGTCCATATATAGTTATTGATTTTATTTTTTATTTTTTAGATTTAAGAATGAAGAGGAAGCAGTACTTCTTGCTAATTCCACTAGATTTGGTCTTGCCGGTTATTTTTACTCCCAAGACATCCGGCAAATATGGCGAGTTGCCGAAGACCTTGAGGTTGGAATGGTTGGGATTAACGAGGGAATTATCTTCTCTCCAAGCATTGCCTTTGGAGGCATCAAGGAATCAGGCCTCGGCAGAGAAGGATCTAAATATGGCATTGATGAATATCTTAATATCAAGTACACTTGCTTTGGAGGAATATGTTAAATATTAGTAGAGAATATTAAGATTGGTCATGAGTACAATTCCTTGCATGGTCACCTCTTTGGTTGACAATGGTATGTGACAAATAAGAGATGTATAATGTACACCTACCACAACATTTTAGCATGTATTGTATAATCCAGTTTTAACTATATTCTTTATCTTAACTGCTTGTGTAAACATTATAAACAAAATGAATGTTAATACAGGTGGTTAAGATGACTATAATCGTGTATATTATGGTGATTTATAATAGAAAATCCTGGCTCTTCCATCAATTAATTATGTATGTGCAGCATGAGTTGGTGGGCCTAGTGACATTTTAACCATTGAGAGGTTACAAATAAGAATGGCAAGGGTAATTCTGAAGTCTTCCTGCACCACTAAGAGACTTTATTTATTGATCTAGGGTGGTATACTATTTCTTTACAAGATATCATTAGACTTGAATATTTAAAAAGACTTTCAATGTTTCACGATAGCCATTGGCCTCATATTGCGTACCTAACTGTTTGACACCCGTTTATGAAAGTGGTTTGACCAAATGGTGGATATCTTGTCCTGTGCAGGCATGGGTGGTGTCATGAACTTCAGGCAAACTCTTCACAACGCGGCTATCTTTAATGAATATGAAAACTTAGTAAAGGAACATAAAGCTCAGGAAATTTAGGAGCAAATAATTAGTAAGTCTTCACTTTAAATGTATTCTCAAAATAATACAAAAATAGGATCGTAAATGTTATGTAATGGACAAACATAATTTCCAAAAAGTTTGCTTGAAATTCAAAGCCAGATCACCAGATATTTCAAAAACTTGTCAACCTGTCTCTTATACACATCTAGATGTGTATAAGAGACAGCCCCCATACAGAACCCCCATTTCAAGACTTAGATATGCCACTGCACCATTGGTCTCTTAATCATGACACCACATGAAAATTGTGTTCAAAAAAAAGAAGAGTGCTTGAATACAATAATATACAGTGCCTTGTACCTGTTAGAGCATGAGTTGTACAACAATAACGTAACACTGATTTGTATATAAACATAATCATAAAGTAGAGATTAATCAAATTCTGGGTAAGTTCTGCAAAGCATATCTTAAAAGAGCATGATGATCATGTAACCTTATTTTAAGTAAAATCTGAGTGTTAATATGCAGCATAGCATGATTTTAATCTTATTCTACAGTACAGGTAAGTACTTTCAGACCATTTTAACCATCTTGCCAATATTTATTTATATACTTTCTTTAAAATTTTAAATTCAAATTTGAACCCTTTTGCACTTTTTGACCCGTTTCTGTTTTACTTGTATTTTAAATAATAATGTTTGGTTTTAAATGATTAATTTATTTTAAATATCCCTGACTGTATATTTTATTGAATTATATTTAAGCCTTGTCTTTTTGCATTCGTGTGTTGTTTTTAAGTCTGTGGTTTTATAGTTTTATTGTGACGTGTACCACTGATTCAAAAGTTTAACTTTCAAATAAAGCTATTATTACTGTGTATAAAGTATATGGTGGGAAAAAATATGTTAACACATTACCAATGAAAAAAAAAATATAGAATTTATATCATTAAACAGATTATATAATAGTTATATATATATATTTAAGTCAGACAAAATATTTTTGAAGGAATCGCAGCTGAATATCAATTTTATGATTATGTTTAGTTACAGTATGTTATTATAATAATAAAAAAAATATATGAATAAAGGTGAGTTAAAAATAACAACAATTATTGCCTCACTATGGTTTTTTATTTAAAAGGTTATTTGTTTTTGATATGTAATGGTCTTACTAAAATCGTAGTTAAAAGCTGTAGCAAAAGGCCCTATTTAATATGCCTTACTGTAGCAGTGGTTGAGAAAGGAGGAAGAGGGGAAGAGAGTAAGCTGTAAAAGTAATTTGAGTACTAGTATTAATTTTATTTTACAATCAGCTATAATCACCCCAGCCCCCATCTCCCCAGTTTGGTGCTTCGTACTATGTATGGATTTACTGTGTATGGATTCTTCTTCGGGTCCACTTCTGCTTAGAATATTATGATTTTATACAAGTCATTTGGCCTACTTCACAAACATAAACTGATTATTAAACATTATGGTACTCACAGCCTGCAAAAGTGAGTGCACATTAATAGCAGTAATTTACATATCTCCAATACAATCATGCTGCCTGCAGAAATAGTAACATTATTCGTATGTCAAAGATTACAAATGAAACTTATTTTTAGCCATTTGATTTATTATTGTTTCTCATAGCAGTTGTATCTTCACTGAAATGGATGGATTTATTCGGTGTAAACACAAAAAATAACCAATGTAAGTCTGAAGAAGACTTTAATATTTCCAGTGGGGTCCTTCTGGTGGTGATTGGGAGTACAAGGGAGACAATCCCCTACTTTTTTCCGAATAGTGTGCTGCATTCTTTAATGTGCGCACAGGACCAATGGCTTCAATTTTCATCCAAAAAATGATGCGCTATCGTAACTTGCATTTCAGCCCTCCAACTGAAACACAAGGAGAGGAGCGATGGGAATTGAACCAGGGACCTAGAGATCTCCACGGTTCGGCGCACACACAGTGGCTACCACCAGTGAGCTAAGAGCTGCTCTCTCTTATTATCTCCGCCAGGAGATATATGTGGCAAAGACAAGCCAAACCAGTCACTCGTCGCAAAAATCAATTTTGAGTTATTAATACAGTGTTGGAGAGTAAAATAATAGCTATAAAATGGTAAAAAAATCATTCAAATCGGACATTTCCTTATGAAGTTACAAGCGTTTAACCATACAGCTGTTTAAAGAACAATATATGAGAAATTAACCGTCTAAGTTTATGATTTCAGGCATTTCTCATAAATCCTTAAAAATTATTGTTTTAACATTGAAAATGGGGAAAATAACAGCATAGAATGATGTGTAGATATATAAAGGTTAGTTTAATGCAATTATTTTAAAAATTTGACATTCCAGCATGTTTTGGCGATTTTCTCTGAAACACGATTTGCGACGGGTGACTGGTTTGGCTTGTCTTTGCCACATATGTTTTCAGTTGTGAGTTTGTCACATTTTTGTGTTTTTTGTGGGTTTTTTTTTGTTCTAAATATCTCAAAAACATCTGCACAGATATAAATGAAAATTACAGGGAGTGTGAGGTATCACCCAATGAAGAAATGATTAACCTTTGGTGACGGTCCGGAGTAGGGTGTGGATGTAAGGACCAATTAAAGGGATTTAAGAGCAAACACTCTACACCAGATATTTCAAAAACTTGTCAACTTATCTGAATGAAACTTTCATGAAATTTTAACCAAGTTACAGGGAATAAATTATTAAGTGTTGGTGATGATCCAAATTTGGGTGTGAATTTGAGGGTCATTTAAAATCCTAAGGTCTCAGACCTAAATATGTCTAAAAATAATCTATGGCTCTAAATGACACTACCCACAATATTTTGTTATGTTTGGATGAAGAAATGTTTACATTTTGGTGACCATCCGGAGTAGGGTGTGGATATGAGGACCATTCAAAGGAAGACGTCACAGACCAGATATTTCAAAAACTAATCAACTGATCTGAATGAAACTTAAATTGTGAAAGTTTAACCAAGTTACAAGGAAGAAATTATGAAGTGTTGGTGACTATCCAAATTCGGGTGTGCATTTGAGGGCCATTAGGTCCCAGCCCTAACTATCTCTAAAATGGATCAATGGATCAAAATGACACGAGTTTGTCATGTTTTAAAGAAGTGTTTAAGTAGTGTATAGGTATGAGGACCATTTTTACCGTATACCGTAAGCAGATAACAATAGCTGTATGATGAATATTTAAATTAGTGCAATTACAGTAAATGTGTACAGCGTTGTAAATGTACTAACTTCAGTTTTTGGGAACTGATTGAGAATATTTTTAATGCATCTTTATATTTAAACATGTAACGCTAACATCCATTGACTATTTACATAATATTTCCATTTCAATACCATTAAAGGAAGGAATTAGCAGGTATACCACTAATAGAAGGCCTAGGCGTTTTCAGTTACCTGGTTAGTGAAGTGTAGATGGTGGTTGGAAAGTAATTGAGTTGTCACATTTTTTCTATAGTTTCAGTGGTTAAAAATAAAATGTTCAAGATTATATGTTGCTTGGATTCTGCTTTCAAAACGTAACATGTGTAGTGACAAGTAGACCGACCATGAATTTTGGTAAAACCATTTTGGATTACAAAATCTCAAAATGGCCACTCTAAAAAAGGGTCCCCAAAAACCTATACTAAAAGTAGAAATAGTGCCCCTCTTTGAAATAAAAAGTGTTTGGGTATGTTACTGTGCGTTTTTGAAGAGTGGTGGATTGCAGTGAGGCTGGGTGGTACTGGTGGTAGTTGAAGTAAAATAGAAACATGCTTTGGGAGATTTATTTTATAGAAAGGGATTTGCGGTGGGCAGAGACATGCTCTCTACTGAGTGCTCTTGTTGGCTGTATTTTTAGTTTTACTTAGCTCTTTCTGTTGCTTTCCCCATGTGATTTGTTGTTTAACACAGGTGGTGCACACTTTTGCATTGGTCTACTATTGAACAAATTGCTTCATGTGGAGGTATAAGCAACTTTGGAATGTTCACTTTTTAAATCTGTAACCGTGACAATTTTGTTGGAGTCGTGATGTAATTATAATGCGTTGGGAGTACTTGGGTGCTGTGCTTTATCTACCTTTACTTCTGCTGTCACAAGCAGTGATATGGTAACTGGCAGAATTAATGAAGCAGTCTTCTTCCGTTCTCAGGCAAGCAGCGACAGGACCCTAAGCTACGTTAGGAGAGCTTGAAGAACACTCAGGTGAGCTACTCTGAGATTCCAACAACTTTGACAGTCATGTAGCCTAGTAGAATAACTGGTGTCGAAGGAGATGGGAATGCAAGGCTGTATAGTCCCATCACCCTCCATTCTCAGTACCGGAGGTTGTCTGGTATAGCCTAGCACAAATGTGGTAGTGTTTGGTAATATGATCTAATCCACTTTGATTAAAGTAGTCCTCGTAGTTTAGAGGGTTTCAATACTGGACATTGCTATTGTATGCTGGCCCATTGGTACTTGTCTGTTGGCATCTATAAGAGAGATCACAATTGCAATGTTGAGACTTTGTTGTTTGATTTCTAAACTGGCATTAAGAATAAATAAAATCATCGTTTGGAGTGAGAGAGAGCGAGCGCAAGAAAAATTGTGTCGGCATCCAGCTTTTTTGCTTTCAATATTTAAGATTTTAGGTCGGTCAGGCCTGTGTACACAGTTGTTTTGGCCTAAAGCTGACCACTCACTGCACTCAATAAGATTCTATAGAGAGCGCAACACCACGACGCATGCGCAACGGATCGTTTTTAATGAAGATTTGTTTTGATTACCACTGATAATCAGCGGATGACGTCGCATCGTCCAACGCAACAGAGTTGGATTCGTCGGCTGACATTCGTACGACACAGAGAGTGCCCAGCTTAAATCTATTACAGGTTGTTTCATTGTACAGAAAAAAGTATTATAGATAATAATGATCAAATTCAAACAACTAGGCCTAGGTATATTTTCTTTTTGATGATAGGAGTAAATTATGATATTGATACAAAACAAGTTTTGAAATATTATACTGACTAGGCTAGCCTAGGCCTATACTGGCTGCCGCTTCGTTAGGCCTAGTAAATTTGGGATCTTAATGAACACTCACAATATCATTATTTGGCCTAATGAATATAATCAATAAGTATCTACACAATATACGTTGGTATAAACATATGAAGTATGAAATATATTAAATGCTGACGCCCGGTGTAAGGTCTAGGGCCTAGCTACTAGGCCTAGGCGCAAGGCACGCCCCGACAACCGACGGCCTTTCATCAGTGAGTGCGAGAGTGCATGAGCGAATTGACTGTTGTAAGTACACGATCGTTCTCTCTACAAGTCAAGTTATGGTGCAATACTTAGTATATAAATAATACAGGCACTACCGCCATCTAATAATATCTGAAAGACTTTATTACCTCTTTCTCATCAGAAACCAGAAACAAGTACAATACAGTCCTGCCCGACTCCAGTACGTAGTCTCGTCTGTTGTCCATTTTGCATTCTGCTGCTATCAACCTAACTAATATTATGCTTCACTTTATGATAGTCTTTTTGCAATAAAAACCAAAACATAAATATAAAACAAATAAAACTAAGAGAAAATCCGTGTTTACATTATTAGTTATCATAAACATATAAAGAATTTATAAACTATGATTATATTGAGGTTAATTTGATAATTATTTTCGATGAACTGCCCTGGATGTGTCAGAGGTCGTGTAAATATGACTATTCGCACTCATCGCAATTTTGGCCAGGTCTGCCGTGCGAATACGAACTTATTCCATTATTCCCACGGTACCGTGCGAACAGCGCCAGTAGGCTAGATTCGACTTAAATGAAATTACACACACGGTAGTCTACAGTTATAACGTTTATTCAGCAAGAACCAAACACAAGTAAATATCGACCAACAATGGCTGACTCCGGTGCCCCGGGAGAGGGCGCACTATTGTTTACCATTGAATAACAACCCTGGCGCAGTAACTTCGATCGATCATACCTCCATGCTTCAATGTAGGCTAGGATAACAAAACAAATAGTGTCCACAGTTTAACAGGCTAAGGCAGGTAACGTTATATGAAGTGTCAGGGCGCTAATGAATTTTAGTACTCGACCCAAAAAGGGCCTAACCCTAACTTTAACCATAACTCCAGTATCACACCGTTATTAATTGTTAAGGTTAGGGTTGAATAAAATTAGGGCCGTCTCCTCTGGTCTGGCTAGGCTAGAAGCTCTGAGGCTAGGCTAGGCCTACTAGGCCTACCTAGCCCTAGGCATCATCAACAACCAAGAAGATGTTTCCCTTCTTGTGACTTGTGGACGGAAGTTCATGAACGTCGGTATGCCTGTTAAACTTAAAGGAAGGCCTACTGTCAGTTGTGTTTCTAGGCCCTATGTGGTACGCGGGGGAGGGGGAAGGCGCACTCTTAAAAAATCCCCCTCCAGTCTCGTATGAAACAAAATGCAGCAATTGCCTTCATCAAACCCCCCTATAATAGCATATGCATATAGGGGCCTACATAGCAGCAGCCTATGTGTAAGTTTTCTCTTTACCTGTTATGTGAGTGGAACAAATTACTCAACACCCTCAATATCAAATTTTGAAAGTAAACTAAATTCTTCAAGTGGACATCACCAATATTATTACGGGGCTCATTTCATGCAGTCTGCAGTGAGTGGCGTATCTAGGGGTGCGTGGGGGGGGGCTGGTGCACGCCCCCCCCTCCAAAAATACTCGCTTCCCCCCCCAAAAAAAAATCACAGTCAAGTACTTAAAAATGACCTAAAATCACCTCATTTTGTGAATTAGTGCCCCTCAACCGATCATCGATCCCCCACTTCACCTTTCGCGCCCCCCCCACCAATCAGCACCCCCATTTTAAGACTTGGATACGCCTCTGATTTTATGTAAGGCTCCGTCAACTTACATCTGCATATGCCATATGTACATCCATGCTGTGGAATTTATGCAGTATTTCACCAGAACCAGAACCCCCATTGAAAATGAGATAGTTCCCCTCACTTAATCATTGACGTCCACTTCACCTTCACACCCCCATCAGACCTCCCTTCACCCATTTTAATTCAATAATTTTGATATACCACTGCCTACTCTGCAAAGTAATGTTATAACTTACATTTCCTATATCAATACTGCAATTGTCAGTAATTTCCTAAGAAAATATTTTCACCTTTGGTTTCTTATCGTTACAGAGATGTCTCAAAAAATGTCCCGTAAACTGGTTAGTGATCTGAAACTTTTGACAAAATCACTTTCAACTCACTGTACTTCAATACAACAGTCAAGATCTGCATCATCACTGGCATTTAAGAATGCATACATCAATGGACAATGGGTAACTGCTGAAGATGGGAGGACGTTTCCAGTAAGGAATCCAGCAAATGGAGATTTGATCAGTGAAGTACCTGATATGCAAGCCAAAGAAACACAAACAGCAGTGAACCATGCAGCTGATGCCTTCAAACGGTGGAAAAATTACACAGCTATTGTAAGTTGTGAAAGCCTGATATGTCAGCATATCTAAGGAAGTAGGAAGCATAGACCCCCATATGAAGTTTTTCCTCCCAATGAAAATTTGCTGGACAAAAAGAAAGACTCTTTTTACTCTTTATTCAATTCGTTGCTCACATCACGAACTAACACAATCAAAGTAGATTGTGTTAGTTTGTGAGATGAAGAAAGCACATCAAAATATGCGCTGTTATTGTTAAGGACTTTTTGTGGTAAAGAATACAAAATTGCTTGACAACCAATACTCGCTCGTTTTGACGTGCTACTGTGATTTCACGAACTAACACAATCTACTTTGATTGTGTTAGTTTCGTGATGTGAGCGACAAATTTATTGCGACTCACAAAAAGAAACATCACAAAACATCAGACACAAAAAGAAACAGATGCAAAAGGACAGGTTCCACAGACTCGAAGTCCAGACTAAGGGAAAATGCCCTGAACGAAAAAATACACAGCTATTGCATGTTGTCAAAGCCTGATATCTAAGGAGGTAGGGGGCATAAACTCCAATAAAATGTTTGCACCCCAAATTCCCATTCCCATTGAGAACTTGCTGAGCATACAGAATTAGACTCCTCTAGTGGAAACTTAAATCATATCATCTCATTCCTACATCTAGTATTTCCCACTTTCCCATCATGCCTCCCCTCTCCCCACATCTCGTCCCATCAGTGCCCATGCCAATACTCCTAGATACACATCAGATATCAGAGCATTAGTGGCATCACCACTGCCTGCCATTAAGTTACTTTAAAGTTGATATAAAGCATACGCTACACATCATTATCATTAGACAAAAGAATAGTTTGTGCTGTCCTATCCTGACCCAAACTATTTTACGTGCCAAAATTTAAGGGACCATCCCAATACTCATTATCATTTGGATACTACTAATTAATTTAAGGGACCATCTCAATACTCATCATTTGGATACTACTAATTAATTCATTGTAATGCTCCTTGTCAGTGTTATGCATGTATTGCAGGAAAGGAGTATATTGTTAAAGAAATGGCATGACATAATGGCAAAGAACCAAGAAGATTTGGCTCAAATTCTAACAGCAGAGAATGTAAGTTTTCTCAAATGATTTTTCCATTTCTTTCTTTTTCTTTTTCTTTTAATATTTTTATTTTCAAATCAGGTAACTTCCCAAGATTGAGAAAAATATTAATGTTTTAAACCATTTTCAAATTGTTTCAAATAAATGGTAGCGCTAGTCCTCGTATTAGAGGGCGCTATTATACAATAAAAACATTTGATTAATGGTAAAACAAAAGATTTCAAATTTATTTAAATCCTTCAACTAAATTAATTTCATACAATATCTGATTTACAGTAGTCACAATGATTGTATATGTTAAAAGTATTCAAATAAAAATATTTTATCTTAATTTTTTATTTGCTAATTATTTTTGTTTCATAGGGAAAACCCCTTGCAGAAGCTAGAGGTGAAATAGGATATGGCATATCATTTGTGGAATGGTTTGCGGAGGAAGGCAAGCGAATCTATGGAGATGTAATCCCATCTGCATTTAAGTCCAAAAGGTTACTTCACCTAAAGCAACCAGTGGGGGTGTGTGGTATCATTACACCGGTATGAACTCTAAAGAAACACAAATGTTTAATTCATTTATGTTAGATTTCAAATGTCGAATAAACACAGATAAAAATATATGGTGACACATCAAATTACAACCCTACAAATGCCACTGAAAAATACTCCCCCACCCACAAGTGGTATCACACAATCATGAAGTCGTTGCAAAAGCTACAGCATGAACAGTACTAAGTAACATACCTATCACATACATCATCACATTTATTGTGAAATATCTCTTTGTAGTGGAATTTCCCAAATGCAATGATCCTAAGGAAGGTCGGCGCTGCTCTGGCAGCAGGATGTACTGTGGTTGTCAAGCCGGCTGAGGACACGCCACTATCAGCACTTGCCACGTGCTATGTAAGTAGACGATCATACTCGCCTACAAAACCCAAACGTTATTGACTTATATCTGATTGTTATTCAGCTTCTCAAAGAATAAATATTTTCATATATTAATAAAGTTATCGATTAGAATATATAATTATTATTCAGTTTCTCATATTTTCATATATTAATGAAGTTATCAATTAGAATTATTTTTTTATTATTAAGAAAATTTGTCTTGTGTGATTGAATATTAGTACAAATATCTTTTGTTGCCTACCTCTTAGTTTGCAGAGCAAGTTGGAATTCCTGCTGGTGTTTTGAATGTTGTCACTTGCTCTCACCAGCATGCTTCAGAGGTTGGCAGGGTTCTTTGTCAGAGTCCAAAGGTTTCCAAGATATCATTCACCGGATCCACAGCTACGGGCAAAGTAAGTATAAAAAAATGTAAGCTTTCACCAATACTATGGTTTCTGTTAGTACTTAAGTGATCCTACTATGGTTTCTGTCAGTGCCCAAGTGCTCACACCTAAAGAAGTTATGGTAGATATGGAAAACTTGAGTTATCAGTAACTATCTTTTAACACTTTGAGCGTGAAACCAGAGTTTTCAACAGATTTTAAAATGTTTCTGAAAAAGATTTGTTATATACCAAGGAAAAGAAGAATACAAGGACTTCAAAATACCATTTTTTTTATTCAATGACTATTGTAACATGTATAAAAATAGATAGTAAGTATGACTACTTTTTGGGGTATTCACTTCGTGCATATTTAACTCAAAAAGTGCAAAAAGTTGAGATAAAAATGAAAGGAATAAAAGCAAGCTTTTTCACCACATCAAGGGTGGCTAGGTGATTTCAAATAACGTTTTCAAGAAATCCATTTGGGCTCAAAACTTTTATATAAGAACCGTAATAGCTCCCACAATTTGATTATGCAACAACACAAAATATGCAGGGAAATCTCCATCATTGGCGATCAAACAATGGGTTAACAAAGACGGAGTATATATTACTATTCTTATCTGGTCCATAAATTGTCAAGCATTTACTTAAATGCTACCCAATGGCCTTGACTGGTATTTTAATTATTTTAGGTCTTAATGAAGCAGTCAATTGATACAATGAAGCGTGTTTCAATGGAGCTAGGAGGAAATGCTGCCTTCATCGTGTTCAATTCAGCAGATGTTGATGCTGCCGTAGCAGGTGCTGTTGCTTCAAAGTACAGAGGAACAGGTCAGGTGTGTACCATTTGCTTGGAAGTTGTTGAAATTAACTCCAAATATTTGAAATTTTGTATATTTATTGCCATTTCCGGACATCTGAGGTGTTATATCTTTAACCCCCTTCAGAAATCCTGCCTGCAGGCTTGACGAAGGATGCAAGCCAAAACATGTGACATATTAGTAGATGTAAAAATATGATTATAAAATAGTTTTCACATCTAGTAACCCAATGTTGTGCTATTTTAAACTAATTTTAATTTTGCAGACATGCATAAGTGCAAACAGGATATTAGTGCAGGAAGAAGTGTATGATGAATTCTGTGAGAAGCTCGCAAAAGTTGTAAGTCAGTTTGTGGTTGGTGATGGTCAGGAGGATGGCACCACACAAGGACCACTGATCAATGAAAAGGCAGTTGACAAGGTCAGTGAGAAGTAAATTGAATATATATGGTGCCAATGGAAAAACATAAACCAACTTGGGAATAATGTACTTGAAATGTGGCAGTTGGTGGCCTTCAATTGATCTGAGCTCCTTTATATCTTTTACTTAGAACATAGGGAAAATGTAGTCAATAATTTTATTTATTTATTATTTAGGCCCACAGATTTTCAATAGTAAACATAATCACTGTCATATCCATAGATGGCCATCTATGGGTATGATTGAGCCAATACAAATTCTTTCCTGGGATCACTCAAAATGAATACTTCTAAACATGTAAATATATAGGCCTAATAGAACACATAGGCCAAAGCGTGATTTAAAAAAAATCTTAAATCCATAAATCTCAGGCCAGGTCTTTTAAGATAGAAATGCGATACTCTGGTTCAATTTCGTTTTTATCCTTTTGCAAGTTTCTTTAAAAGTTTGTTTAATAATACTACTACTAATAGTAATAATAACAATGATGATGATGACGATAGTAATAATTAATAATAATATTAATAGCAATAAAAAGTGAAGAAAATTGTGCTAAATGCGATAAAAAGTTGTGATTTGTTGATCATAATATAATATATAGTTAAAGCTTAGTAAGCTATAATTAGGCCTAAGTTGTCCCGGATATTAAGTAGATCCCTAATAAAAGATCATTTGTTGGCGTTTCATTTTGACTATAATGGTAATGTGATGATGATGAATTTTACTATATAAAAGTGTCATTTCCGGCCATCTCGAGAGGTACTATTTCCTCAAATTTTCTCACCTCAGCCCCAGCCATTGTGGGGCTGAGGTGGTTGCGAAATCATGTTTTTGAAGTAGGCCTATGTAAAGTACATACTCAAAGACAATGTTTTTAAGATTTTTTTTCTATGGTATATCACACACACATTAATAAGATCTCTATGGTTGTCAAAAATCCCTGATAAAAGATTTGTTTGTTTAATAATAATAATACTACTACTAATAGTAATAATAACAATGATGATGATGACGATAGTAATAATTGATAATAATATTTATAGCAATAAAAAGTAAAGAAAATTGTGCTAAATGCGAAAAAAAGTTGTGATTTGTTGATCATACTATAGTATATATAGTTAAAGCTTAGTAAGCTATAATTAGGCCTAAGTTGTCGTGGATATTAAGTAGATCCCTGATAAAAGATCATGAGAAATTTGTTGGCCTTTCATTTTGACTATAATGGTAATGTGATGATGATGAGTTTTACTATATAAAAGTGTCATTTCCGGCCATCACGAGAAGTACTATTTACTCAAATTTTAGGGCTGAGGTGGTTGTGAAATGATGGGGCTGAGGTGGTTGTGAAATCACCTTTTTGAAGTAGGCCTATGTAAAGTAAATACTCAAAGACAATGTTTTTAAGCTTTGTTTTCTATGGTATATCACACACACATTAATAAGATCTCTATGGTTGTCAAAAATCCCTGATAAAAGATTATGAGAATTTTTTTTGGCGCTTCATTTTGACTAATGGGGATGTGATGATGATGAATTTTACTAAAAGTGTCATTTCTGGCCATCTAGAGGTACTATTTTCTCACCTCAGCTCCAACCATTGTGGGGCTGAGGTGGGTGTCGACTAACAAAATCCCCTCCCCCTCCACCTTTCAAAACAGATCTGTGCCCTTCCCTGGGTATGACATTAAACTCCATCGAGTCGGCTCCTGATATATGTCTTAGTGACTGCTGTTGTTTTTAGGATGTGATCTGGTTCATGTCCATTTTTCGTGTCTGGATAAAGACTGTGTTTTGAGCAGAGGTGGATTCAAGGCCCCCCCCTTTCATTTTTTTAAGGGAAAAAAACCAAAAATATATTCAAATTGAAGTGCGAGAGTGTAATTTCCGGCCATATAGAGATGCCCTAATCATAAATTTTCTTACCTCAGCCCCAATCATGGTAGGGCTGGAGTGGGTGGTTCCTCGGTCTGTGAAAGTCCCTCCCTGGTTCACCTCTCCTTTGAATTCCTGGATCTGCCACTGTTGATTTATTATATAATTATTTTTGCGCTTATTTATAATGCGTCTATTGCAATTTTCACTTTATCCTCTCAAACAGTCCTAAGAACGTTCATAGTGCGCTACTTCACAGGGGGATTCGCCCCTTCTACTCCCAAGACATCCGGCAAATATGGCGAGTTGCTGAAGACCTTGAGGTCTGTCTCTTATACACATCTAGATGTGTATAAGAGACAGCATACAACCAAGATACTCAATATGAACTCATTATGAGGCTTAGAAATTGGATAGTAATATAATAATGCAGATTGTGTAACCCAAGGGTTACAAGGGCCCAACTAAACAGTGGCTACCTCTTACCATTGCATACCGTGTTTACCTTTTGTCTAATAGGTTGATTCTCATGTGAAGGATGCAGTAGCTAAAGGTGGTAAAGTTCTGATTGGTGGTGAAAGACATGTGAAAGGGCCAACATTTTACAGCCCAACAGTGATACGTGACATCACTGAAGATATGTTGGTGTGCAGTGAAGAAACATTTGGGCCACTCGCACCAGTAATAAAGTAAGGGTTGCTAAGGTCTACTATTCTGTGTATTTATATGCATGTAAAACTATATCAATTGATTTCTGAAGAAAAAAATAATAGCTAGATTGAAATTCTGGCAAACTTTAAAAATTATAATGACATGTAACAAACACCAACATACCTTTAATTATTATTATATATTTATTTTTCCTGCTATAAACAATAGACTTACATACTGTACATTCACAATATAAATCCTTATCATAATTAAAATAATTTTTTTTAGAAAATGTAAATTTGAAATATCTAATTCTCAGCACAAAATTGTTTCATATCATTCTGAAGTTACTACCATAACCATCATCAACATAAAACATATACATAGGCTTAATTAAATACAGTTTTGTTTACATTCTTTATATCTATTATGATGTATTAAATAACAAGATTGAAGATTCCAAGACATTTTATTTGTCCATATACTGGAAAAATACAGAAAATTGAATTGCTTGGCAAATTAATGTAAGTGTAAATATAATACAATGCCAAAATTCACAAAAAGAAGACAAGATAATAAAACACACAAATGACAATGAAAAAAAAACTGTAAAAAATGTGACATTATAACGTTACCCTGAATTGTCCCAAATTATTATTATTATTATTATTATTTTATTAAGTCATCATTTGAAAAATGATAACTGGTCATCTCATAGGTGCAAGGTCTATTCGATGTTTGTGTCTTCTTACCCTTTTTACATACCACATTTTACCTATTATAATTTAAAGGTAAAAATATTTCCCGCTAAACCATATTTGAATTTGTGCATCTAATTGTTGTTTCTCCCCACTTGCGTTCATACTGTACCAAAGGTTACAAGTTGCACTTTTTTTTTCTTTCCGCTTGTCCTTTTTGATTTATCACCAATCTTCAGATTCCTTGGAAACTATTTTTCATTGATTTTACTTTAATTAATTTAAAATAAATTAAATTAAATTTTTTTTCCCTTTTTTAAAAATAAATTTTTAGAATTTTAATTTTATTTAATTTTTTTACTTTATTTAATTTTTTTTTTTTTTTTTTTTTTTTTTGTTAAATAAACAATATGCAAATGAAAGGTGATTGAATATATAAAGTAAAAACTTCATATATTTAATATAATTTTTAGCTCATCAGACTTCATACATCTTTTATGATTTTCTTTTTTAGATTTAAGACTGAAGAGGAAGCAGTCCTTCTTGCCAATTCCACTAGATTTGGTCTTGCCGGTTATTTCTACTCCCAAGACATCCGGCAAATATGGCGAGTTGCTGAAGACCTTGAGGTTGGAATGGTCGGGATTAATGAGGGTGTGATCTCCTCTACAAGCATTGCCTTTGGAGGCATCAAGGAATCGGGCCTCGGCAGAGAAGGATCTAAATATGGCATTGATGAATATCTTAATATCAAATATGCTTGCTTCGGAGGAATGTGATAAATTTTAGGAGAGGATTAGTGGTGGGTTCAATTCCTTTCTTGGCCAGCTCTTTGGTTGGTAGGGGTACAAATCATTTGTCAAAGAATATCTTCACTTTAAAATTTATTTTATCTACTGTCCTGAGGTTGTTTTTCCTTCTCCCAGCTACCCCTATATCTCCAGCTCTCTGCCAAAAGGTCCTGAGCTCAGTAACATATTACTGTACTTAGCTAATAAATGAAATTATTAAGTTGAATAAATTTATTCACTACTCAGTTTAGTGAGACAAATTATAATGTATTTATATTTACATTATACAACTATACATATTAATAGGAGTAATTTTACATATATAACAATATTTCTAATACAAACATGAAGGTATTCTATAATACCTCCATGATACAACCATGCTGCCTGCAGTCATTAAAGATATTATCGCTGTTGTATCTTCACTATTGTCTGTTTTTTTTTTTTTCTGTCTTTCTTTATGTTTATCTGTCATTTTTACATTATCTAGTATTGAACAAGTCATGTCATGTGGAGGTATAAACAGCTTTGGCATGTTCGCCTTCTTAATCTGTAACCGTTACAGTTTTGTTGGAGTCGTGGTATAATCATAATGCATTGGAGTACTTGGATGTTCTGCCTTATCTACCTATACCTCTGCTGTTACAAGCGGTGATATTGTGACTGGTAGAACTGGTAAACCGGACGACAAATGATCCAACGATTGGTTACCGCGAGACGTCCATAATTGGGCAAGAGGTGACAAGACACTGAAACGAGAACCTGAAGGACTCTGCGGAAAGCTGCTCCGCGATTCCGACAACTCAACAGGTGATATGTAACCTGGTAGAATGAAGTAGTATTGAAGGAAACAAGAATGAGAATATATATATAAATATATATGTCAACGTATGCAATCGTTTCATATTCGTGTATATATATATATATGTATATATATGTATATACTGTATAATAGAACGCATAAATAACCACCTAC